AAACTTTCATTGTTCCAACTTTTAAATTTTTATCTTATTAATATAAAATCATAAAATAATATTTAATCACTGAAAAACAAATCCAATTTTAGTTTGTAAGTAGGCAGTTCAGAGCTGATCATAATTATATATATCACTTCCTAAACACTGCTTAATTTTTAAAACATTTAAAATATAATATTTATACTATTTATTCATAAATACGAATAATACTAAAAATTAGCCAAAATTAAAGAAAATAATCCTAGTTACTAATACAAGCCCTTTATAAAAAAAATGAATCTAATAAAGCAACCCAACTGATATAATTTACATACTACTGATAAGTCAAAGTTAGGATGTCTTACTGAAACTGTCGGTAAGTTTGATTTCCATAAGATATTGGCAAGCTCCTTACTTTATGTCATCTACTTTTATTCGAACATATGCATGAAAATCGTTACGCGCTAAGTAAAACTTAGTGAGTCATAAATATAACTAAAGTGATATAAAATCATAAATGTCATAAAATATAAGAAATAAACTGTAATTTAAATAAAAAAAACACATTAGACTTTAAACCGAGCTAATCAATATGTTTTTCCTTCTGAAAACCTGAAAATCATCATCTCATGATTTTATCAAAAATCATGTAAGTCAATATATAATATCATAAATAACTTTTGTTATTTTCATTTAAACATGTTTTAAAACTTTCTTTTCAATTCTATGTCCATTCTTTCATATATTGTCATAACTTTCACATTTACTGTTATAGCACAATGTATATGAAAGAGAATATAAGTTACGTGAGTTTCAGGTGTGCCTTAAGCACAACTCGATGCTGAATCATAACTGAAATTGCGATATGATGCACTTCATTGCAATCATAACCTGAGCACCAACGGTACCGAACATTGGTACACGAATGTACCAAAGCTGAACTGATAACTAAAAAGTACTCATTGAATGACATGCCAAATGTACCTACGACTCTCAATGTAACATACAATGGGCTTATATGTATCATCATAAAATCATTTATTAATTTGTTTCTGATAACTCTAAAACATCTAATATCTGTAATATTTGATAACTGAAAATCATCTGATAAACATAAACATTTAAAATTTATCATCATAAATATCATACTTAGGCAATTCATACCCAAAATCATTCATAAAACTTTATGAATTTTTTTATAGAAATATTCCATACTAAAAATTAATAAATCATACTGGAAATAAAATGAGGTTGGCTTATAACAACTCGTCATCAATTATAATAATCAAATAAATAAAATGCACTCACTTTAACACTTTATTTTTTTAATCAAAATATAAGTCTCGCTAAGCTTTAGATTTAAATATTTTGCCTTCTACTACTTTCAATACACAATTAATCAAAATTTCATATTCAGTTAGTTTGCACTATCTTCAAACAAATATTATTTTGTATTAATTTATACTGAAAAATTATTATATTAACACAAATGAAAACTAGGATCGAATAAAAATCTAACCATATAAGACACTTCGTGTAGTTCCACTTGTACAATCTATAGTGAATTTTCAAAGTTGACTGACATAAGTTGTTTCGGGCAGAATCTGCTGTCCTATTTTCTGACTTATCACCGATTAAAAATTCATATCTTGTTGTATACTCATCTAAATCCATTTTCGTTTATTTTAAACAAAACTATACTGATATACAAATCCAATGATATAAGATTCATTTTTTCAATTATTTTTTTAGAATTTATGGTGTTTTTTTAAACTTTTTATTCAGAACATAATTTCTAAGCAGATTTCACCAACTTGCATCCTTAACTCATTTACTAAATCCATAAGCTTACCAACTGAACATATAGGCTTGAAGTACACTTCTCATGCACTAGGAGTCACTTCTTAATGTAACTCCGACACTAGCTCATCGCAAATCAATGTTTGTTTCGATAACATAAATTCAAGTTAAGTGCACTCACCTTTGCCTCGCTATCGAACATTCTTCACAATAATCTTATCGATCCCATACTTTTTCCTTCCCTTCAAGCCACTTGAATCACTAGTTTTACCTTGTTCTGACGACATTATATAATAATATAAAATATTCAAACTATATGTTAATATCGAACTAACATAATCTAAATTTAAATATAAAATTCGATAGAAATAAATATGATACTTAAATCGATATAAAACTAAATTGTACTTCCATCGTAACTTTCAAACTTCTCAAAATACTCATTCAATCATATGAATATTTATTTCCACTGTCAACCCTTCAAATTTTGCCAACTACACAATTAAATAACTAATTATGAATTCTTTCTAGAATTCACATGAACTATTCTATTAACTTCATAATGATCCTTCACCATTATGATCATGTCACATTATTTACACAAAATTTCCAGAACGTCAAAAAAATATTCAAATCACCACTTTAACATTCATAAGCTTGAAATTTCATTCTAAACTTTCTTAGACTTTTCAAATTCAACCATACAACTTGATAAACTTGCAATTAAATCTCAACTTAATAATTAAACCCAAAAATCAACCAACTAAATAAATTTTCCAACTTTACAATAATTTACCCAAATGATACTTCCACATTTTTTTAATAAACTTTAAATCAACTCCCTATAATAATGATACTTTTTGAATTCCACCCTCAACTTTACCAAATTTGCAATTTGGTTCCAATCAACTTTCTAACTTAAATTTCCAATATTTCAACCATAAAAAATCAGTATTGAATCCTTCAAATATTACATTCTTGCAATAATATCCCTCAATTCTCAAAACTTGTATATTAGCCCTTTTTACTAGCTAAAGCTTCCAAATGGATCCAAATTGATCTCCAAAATAATTTTAAACACTTCTAATATCATTTATAGTTCATAGGAAAATTTTCAATTCCCCCCCAATTTTTCCCTAATGGCCCTATATCACCTTAATCTTAAGGCTAGCTTTTCATTCAATTTCAAGCATGAATTCAACTTCCTTAGATTAAATTCATGTTATTCTAACCATAACAACATCAAATTAAACCAAAATCCAATCATTCACTAAAACCCTGATTAGGTCAAAAGCTTTAAATCAGTCGACACTTAATTTTAAACATCATACATGCTTGAAAAATAATTTCCAACCTAAAAAACATAATAATCTTTCATCAATTCTTCATACTCCAAAATCCCTGCATAAACCCTAACTTTCAATCTCAACATATAAGCATCCTCACCATGCAATATTGGTACCAAATGATAGAGAATTTCATGTAGATCAATTCTCTATCTAATAGCTTCCAAAAATCAAGTATATGTCTTTATAAATCAAAAATAAAATCTTACCTTAAAAAGCTTGGTATTTTCATCCATGAGGAGGACGATAGCTGAAAAATATGCTTCATCTCTTGAAATTATAGTATTTAATAATTAATATACTTGACATTTAAGTAATTAAATTGAATTTAAAATTCAATTCTTAAGAAATTCCATTTAGGTCACTAAAATTTCGTTATTCAATCAAATCTGAAAAATTACGCTGATCTGAGCTAAATTTCTTGAATCTAAAATATGAAAATAATATTTCCAACCATTTTCTAACATACATCAAATTTTCGTAAAATTCCAATTCGATCCGATTATCCGATTTCAATACCAACCTTTATCGATTTATAGCTTTTAACACGAATCTCTGATTAAAAATATGTTTCCCATAAAACCACACTTTCAAGAGTAAACTATCAATTTATGAAATAAAAATTATTTATTAGAAAATTACCTCTTAGATCCCTAAACTTTTATCAATTTATACTTTGACCACTAAACTTTCAAAATTTACATTTTAACCACTATTCAAAATTTGGGGTATTACAAACAACTCACATCACATGCCAGAAATTATTCCACAACCAAAAGAGAAAAACAAAATCAAGACAATAGGGGCAGATTATTTATTCAGTAAAGAAGAAGATATTTTATAGGGCAATAAAACAAAAATCCTTTTTCCAATTTATTTAACCTTCGCTTTGAACTAAAAAAAAGAAGAAGAAGCTAGAGACATATGATTGAAACCAAACATTGTCTCGTTCAAGATTCTTGGTCATTGACTATTTAAACTAATCAAGCCCTTGGGTTTGGTATATAATATGATTGGAAAATTTTGTTAAACAGAGGACGATGGCATCTTATTTTAACTGCAAAATCCAACCATATTCAACAGCTTCTGACCTTAGGTTGGTTTTATAATGTTTAAATCTTTACACGTGTCCAGATTTCCGGATTGAATTATATGCGTTATGGTACAAAAATTGATCTTTATAGGGGGCGGCATCAGGCCCTATGCTTTTCAAAATCCAATCAATGGAAATGAGAAAAATGGACAACGCGGTTTCTTTTACAACCTAAGCAGTAGAAACTATAGAAGAGAATTTTAATATGTAATTTCGTTAATCATGCAAATAATTTAGTGTTAGAAGTGCAGATATTCTCGATATTCATTTTTTAAAGTAAAAACCTTACATTAGTGGGTTTTGATAAAAACAAACGTGAATGTTGATTGTTGCTTTCATACATCTTTTAAGGTAACAAATTCAAGTGCTCTCTTTTGCCTTTTCCCTCGGTAAATTCATCTAGATAAGGTGGCCAAAACAAGTAAAGCGACAAGCTAACAGTGGTAGAACCAAAAGAGCAGAGCGGAGGTGTGATTATTGGTTAAAGTTGAAAATGGCAGCATCGGATGCGATGTATGATTGTTTAGGGTACTTGGCGTTGGGTGCCTGCCAATGCCATGGGTTGAGTTTGAAAGACTGACCAACCATGGGAGGATTTTAGAATTGGGGGGAATCGATAGGCTTTTGTCCAACCCCTGTCATATATATTTAAAAGAAAAAGGAAAAAGCAACGGAAAAGACACAGCAAAAAGAAAGAAAACAACAGTTGCTGTTACTGCCCCTTATAAGACTTGGAAGAATACACTCATGAACCTCATATTTGTTTTCTTTATCCTCTTTCTATCTCTCCTATTCTCAATTCTCACACTTGAACAGCAAACAAGAATCACTTTTAACTTCACTTCACTTCAGTTTCCATCTCTGAGAAGATGGACAGTCAGGGAGGTCCTCTTTTTAGCTTGGCTTACTTCTGTCAAGGAAAGGTAACAACACACACATTTCTTGCTATTCATCTCTGTCTAGTTCTTATGTTAGATCATGTAAAATGGTGATTATTCTTTAATTATGCAGACAATGGAGGAGCTTAGGTATTCTCTTTTCTATACTAGTTTGGAGCTGGAACAGACTAGGATGGCAGCTCAGGAGGAGCTGGCAAAGAGAGATGACCAATTAATCCAACTCAAAGAGTTGCTAAGCAAAGCAACGAAAGAGAGAGATGAAGCTCAGGAGAAATGCCGGAAACTTTTCCTTGAGAAGCTCCTGCTTCAGCAACAGCAACAACTTGCTCCTCTCTCCGGAGTTTCTGGCGTCGAAGATGAACGTAAAAGAGGAATTGACTCCAACAATGGTTTCTCCTCATCTGATTGTGAGGGGAGCATTGTTTCATCTCCTGTTCTTGACCCAATTCAACAACCTCAACTGCCACCATCTCAATCCTTAGAGCTAGTGCCTGATAAGCCATTGCCTGAAAAGGGAAAGCTTTTACAGGCAGTGATGAAAGCTGGGCCGCTCTTGCAAACCCTTCTTTTAGCAGGACCACTGCCTCAATGGAGACACCCACCACCACCACTCGAGTCCTTTGAGATCCCACCCGTTACCATTCCTTCGCCTCCTCCGCCATCCCCACAACTCCTCTACCAAGACTCCCTCACCACCATTAACCCCTGCAACACTCTAAACACCTGTGGTCAAGTAATCAGGAAAAGGGGTCTTTATGATGCCTCTGATTCTCTTACCGAAACCAAATGCCGACGACTAGTTCTTAATTGATTGCCACTACAAACAAGACTAGTCTAAAATACTAATTCCATAAATTTTACCATTTTAAAACTTATTATAGGTTAGTCAGGGTGAACATCAGCCTATCAAGGAATGGTGACTGATCTCAGCATTTTTGTACAGAGGGTTGTTTCGGAGAAGCAAACTCTTAGGAGAGTGAAACAGAGCTTTGTTTCTTGGCCTTTTACCAATGTTTTTCGGTAGGGACTTTTTGCCCTTGTTTTCCCTCGCTTGATATTGGTTCTTGCTCCATGATGTGAAAGGGAACTTTGAATTTGATTTCTCTAAAAAAACTGCCAGTGGCATGTGAAAATTTAGTACCAGTATAACTTTAGCTTCTATAGTCTTGACTAAAATGTGTGCTGTCATTAGATTAAAATTAGAAGCACCAGGATTGGGTGTGGAGTTGTTGAAATGGGAAGATTGGTATGGCCAACAACCAGGAAGGTTTGAGAGGCTTGCTCGTCGGAGTAGTGGATCCCACAAAATCAGAATCAGGATCTGCTGCCTTTGTAATGATGTATGATCGTCTTTATAATTTATATTTCGGTTGAGGGAAGCATCATTATTGTTATTTGTTTCTGGAAATCAATTTTCCCTCTTCTGTATTTAATATACTGATGTCCCTTAAAGCTTCTTTTTGTTTATCTATCTGCTCCCACTCAAAAACTTCCTTATTGTTATTTCTTAAAAACAAAAAAGATGACGGATTTTCCCTCCCTTACAAGGATCTGGGAAACATTTTCCACTTGCTAATGCTTGTTAAAGAAGTAACACCTTTTTCTAAATGAGCCTTGGAGTTTAAAAAAAAAAAAACTTACTGATTAGACATGCTTCTACGTTACACCCGTGGTCTCGAGGTCCAACTCCGATTTAAAAAATTGAGAAATAATCTCCAAGAACACATAAAATGCTAAAAGAAATTATTGGGCTGAAAAGTCTTTTGCCTGTCTTAGGTTTAGCAGGATTTTTCTGGTGGGTCTAAAAGTTCAAAATGCAAGCCTCGAGCCCAATGAGAAATGAACAGAAAAGGGGCCCTGTGTGCAAGTAAAAGAGATCCAGAATTCCAGATAATGTTTAAATTTTTGTTTCTGAGACGACCCAAACTTGTTTCTATCATAAAAATATGGAAGAGTTTGCTTTGAAAGGAAGAATTGCAGCGTCCAGTGCAAGTGCAGTTTATGGAAGAGTTTTGTTGAAAAGTTAGGCGGCAATGAGAGGACTCTACAGTGCATCCAATCTCCAATAGTCGCACTTTGCTTTGACTGATTCTAATTATATATTTCTTTGAAAGATTTACCACATTCAGACACATAATCCGAATTCCACAATCATAGGCACGCCAACTGATATATTATCTCCTTGTTGTACTCCACAATCATAGGCAGACAAATTATAGACGAGATTTAGAGTCTAGAGACGAGAGATTACTACGCACACTGGCACTGGTAACTTATAGGATTGTGGGTGCCACTGCCGTGCATATGATGTAAATGACTTATCGGAGAACTTAGCTGTTCAGACGACAAATGATGAATCTTGCATCTTCTTCCCCTCAATGTTATCTTCTGCAACACCAACTACACATCACAGAAGCAGCAAAACTAACGAGTCTGTCTAGTGTTACATAAGCCCAACTCATCTCAATCCCAATCTTTAAATACTGTTTGCAATGTATATAAACTTATGAGGGTTTCATTATGGGGCGACACTTGTTTTGCTGAAGTGTTTTGAATGTAGTTTCAATGTTGATTGATATTAGAATTATCGAGGAGTATTGAAACAATCAATTAAGTGATATTATGTTATGTTGGAGATGTAAGGGCCAATATATATAAAATATGGTAGTATGACAGCTTGCGAGATATTTAGCTAGATTTAGATGCACCATCGTATTAGTTTTGATCTCTGATTTATGAGATGATACGTTGAATGTTAAGGGGTTATAGCTGCTTTAGCAAGACAATCTTTTAGAAATGTTTTTACAGCTTATTAGTTTCATTTAGATGTAGACATTGTCTGAATTCTTTTAGAATCATTTTATATCTACAATACATGAATTCTTTTATTAAAATAAAATATTAATTCTGTAAAGAATATATATGTTTATATGTTTCAATGATCATTGTGCAAATTAAATAATGAACATTAGCAGCACTTCCCATCTACACAACGTAATCGACATCATTTCAAGGCGGGTTGGTGGGAAAACTGAGAACCTTATTAAAGGTTTTATTTGAGGTATTGAAGAGGGAAAAGGAGGTGTTCATCTTGTCAAACGAAAAGATGTTTATCGCCCGACTAAGATTGGTGGCCTTGGTTTTCGGAACCTTAAAAAATAAAACCATGCGCTTCTAATGAAATTTACATTTAAGTATTTTTGGTCAAGAAAAACTATCTATGGGTGAGCTTTCTTCGGTCAAAATATAAATGCTTGAAAGGAATACCAGATAAGTTTCGGGTCTCAAATTGTTCAAAGACATGCTCAATGAGTGGGGGAATTGATACTAGTCCCTTTTTAATCAATATCTCGCTTTAAATGCGTTGTTGAAAATTGCAGCTAAAAAGGGAGCCAAATCCCCTGTTTGCTACTGATGTGGTGGGTTGAAATCTTTGAGATGACCGTCGGTTCACTGTGAAATCGACCTACGAGTTTCGCGCCAACCAAAGTATTGATTCAGGGGAAAAGATTTGGCCTACTATGAACAAATTTCGAGGTTATAGAAGGTAAAGATGTTTTTATTGTTAGTGTGTTGTGATCGAGTAATGACCAAACGTTTGCTGAGACATCTAACTACCGACAACAAGTGCCCATTATGTTCTGCTCCAATGGAGGACTCTAACCATTTACTACGACATTGTCATTTGGCTCTTTCAATATGGGTTGCAGTGATTAAGTGGATCGACTACATAGATTCATAACGATGAATATATAGGAGTGGATAACACTGAATCTTGTTAATGCAAAGGGGTTTGTTGGTGTGACTGAAAACTGAGATATTTTATTTGGTTCTTTCATCTGGAATATATGGCTGTACCACAACTCGATCACTTTTAACTCACCTTTGGACGATAATTGATCTGTGCTTGAACGGAGTAAACAGTTGATGGAGGCCACTTGTCGAGTTTTGTCCATGAGAGACTTCCAAAACAGATTGCATGTACACTCAGGTGTTGGGGTAAATTTATCGCAGCTACCAACTTGATGTGGAGGAGTAATATGAAATTAAGGTGGAGAATGGAGGATGAGGTTCACTAACTATAAAGGTATATGCTTGATACTGAAAGCTGAGTTATGGGGAGTGTTTGGGGCTGCTGTGTACATGGGAGTTGGTTGGTTATCAAGTTATTGAAGAGCTTGATAGCTAAGAGGCCATCAAGGAGATTCATTAGGCTGGTGGTGGCCGCACGCGGGTGACGACCCTTGAACACGTTGTCGAGTTGACGCAATGAAAATAAGGTGGTGGATTGCATGAAGAAGCTGGATGTTACGAATGGTTCAGATTATATCAAATTTGAAATTTCCCCAAATATGGTTCTACGGTTTCCGCAGAATGATACTAGCTTAACTAATTACATGTAGCGAACTGGTCAAACATAGCGTTCCATTTTCATTCATACTAATTTCAAGAATAATCTTATAAATAAAGTTTCATATTTAGTCTTCGAAATAAAAGTTACCATCAATTCAACTAAATATTGGACGTAAAATGGATGTATTTATCTCTTTTATCTTCTTCATAAAATAATTATCTTTATTTATCAAAAAATGATTATCTTTATATAATGAATGAAAACAATTCTAAATTTAATGAAAAAAAAAACATTTTAAAAATCTTCTGAACGAAACGAGAAATCACCAAATATCGGTCCGACAGAGTAGGGGTATAAGGAGTGTTTTACAGAAGTCAAAGTCAGCGGTCAAAATTTCTAAACTATAACGAACTCGCCATTACACCTTCCTTTATATTCTCTCCATCTCAGGCATCCTCTGGAACAACAAGAAATCAAATCCAAATTCCATCGTTATAGTAAAAAGAGAAGTAGCATACATATTTTTTTGATAGAAAGAAGAGGAGCATAATTTGAACTATATATATATATATATAACGACATGTCGTGTTCCCTCGCCGTATCTATCTCTCCGGTGCCTTCACCGTCGATGGGTCTTTTCTGTAACAAATCTTCGTTCATCTGTTCATCGCCCGAAGCTTTGAATTTATCATTGGCTCACATCAAACCTTCACCTTCTCCTCCTTCACCGTCTCCTTCTTCGCCCTGTTCGCCTTTTAGGCTTCGGCTTCAAAAACCGCCGCCTGGGTCCCTGTTATCGTCTTCTGCTTCAACGTCAACGTCTTCAATGGAATCGGGTTCGAGTGTAGGGCTTGGTCCTGGATCGGGTCCGACTATATTGAAGAGGAAGAGACCAACAAGACTGGATATACCAGCGGCGACGACGGCCTTGCGTTTCGGGGTTCCGACGACTCCGTGTGAAGTTGTGAGAGAGGTGGAGAGAGAGGGATACGGGTATTCAGTTTATTGCAAAAGGGGGAGAAGAGAGGCTATGGAAGATAGATTTGCAGCTTCAGTTAAACTCCAAGGAGATTCCAAACAGGTAATTTTATAGTATAAGAGGATTTGAAATGATGAAAAAAAGAGAAAGATGGATGCTATAATTGATTTTTGTTTGGCATCAATTATGAATTTGAAGTTGGTGGGACTCGTTTCGTTTTATATAATAACTGCAGGCATTTTTCGGTGTTTTTGATGGACATGGAGGCGTTAAGGCTGCAGAGTTTGCTGCACAGATGTTGGGGAAGAACATTTTAGATGAAGTTGTTAGGAGAAGAGATGAAACCAATGAAAGGGAAGCTGTCAAAGCAGGATATTTGAGAACAGATACCGAGTTCCTTAAGGAAAATGTAACCGGTGGGTCGTGCTGTGTGACCGCTCTGATAAAAAATGGAAACCTTGTCGTATCAAATGCTGGTGATTGCCGTGCTGTTCTTAGCAGGGATGGTGCTGCTGAAGCTCTCACCTCTGATCACCGACCGTCAAGGGAGGACGAAAGGAACAGAATTGAGACTTGCGTAAGTTGTTTCTCAAATAAATCACACTTGACTTGTGCTTTGTTTACAATTCTCATTCAAGATGTGCAATTGGACTAATGCATTATTTGTTTTCGCAGGGTGGCTATGTGGACTTATGCCGCGGTGTTTGGAGGGTTCAGGGTTCTCTGGCTGTCTCCAGAGGAATTGGAGACAATCACCTTAAACAGTGGGTAATAGCTGAGCCAGAGACAAAGATCGTTAGTATCAAACCCGACTACGAGTTCTTGATATTAGCCTCTGATGGCTTATGGGATAAGGTAGGTTTTTATTTTTTAAAATCTTTCTTTTAGGTGTTCCATATGGTTTTCCATATTAAACTTAACAGCTTCTTCCCTTTTTTTTTCAGGTTAGTAATCAGGAAGCAGTTGACATTGCTCGTCCTTCATGTGTTGGCATCAATAAACCAAATCCATTGAATGCCTGTAAAAAGCTTGTCAACCTTTCTGTTTCACGAGGCTCATCTGATGATATTAGTGTGATGCTGGTCCAGCTTGGGCAATATTAATTTACCAGTTTCTAAATGGAAGGCCATCAGTCCATTTAACTCTGGCCGAGTTTCTTGATCATTGTTAGTATAGGAGAAGAAGACAGAATCTGAAATACAAGAATTGTACCCATTGCATTGACTCAGTTGTAAACTTGTTTATAATATTTGATATTCATTGGCCTTAGAGTTGTAAATTCAGGACATACTTTATACACAATTTTCTAATAATTTATTCTGATAGTGGCAGTTCATTTTTTTATACAAGGTTATCAACTGTCCTGTTGATTATCTTGCAGATTATCAAATTCATCATTTTGATGAACCATGCAAAGCCTATTTTACAATAACAAAAATTGTGTTTTTTCTTGATTTACTTGTCTTCAATTATGAAGCAAAAATATTACCCGTTGCATAAGAACTGGTTCAATAGCTGGTATGATTCTAGTTGATTAGCTGTTGCCAAGTTTGATTATTGTCTGCATGAACGTTATTATGAATCTGGACTTCCTTTTTCCTGGTAACCTGCGATTATGGACCAGTTTGACATTGTCAAACTTCTTGATGAGCGTTCCTTCAAATGTACTATTAAGTGTCGAATTCATGTTTAGAACGGCAAAAACCACTACTGCACATTGATTGAATCATTGACCTAATCTTTATCATAAAACGGAAAGAAAATATCCTGATGCCAGCAAGACCACTACAAATTATTTCCCCCACTCAAGTTAGTTGGCATTGGCGACAGAATCATATTTTTCATGTTCAGTCATCAGTCGTCTAAATATGACCCCTTCACTGTATCTGACCCACAACTAGCACATGAGAACGAGACCGAACGGCCAATTGCTTTTGGTTTTTACATTTTAAATACTCTTACTGTCCTACATCACACATGTTCCTAGAAATACCGCAGTCTTTAGTGGAAAGAGCAACAAGTGAGGTCTTTGGTGGCATGCAACATGTACTCATGTTCTTTGTTTTGAGCTTTCAAACTTATTAATGTCTGTCCAAGTCAAAAACACATGCTGCGGCCTTGAAAAGTTCTGCTACATTTTTCTTCTTGTCTTCAAGTAATCTTAATCTATGCTGACTGTCAACCGAAGTTACAAAACCCTAATTAGGATCATTTGGAAGATCAAGGGTCAACAAAATCCATTACAGTTTTGACTTCGATAGAAACAAGCCCTCAGAACAACAGAGAGGTGCATAAATTAACCGAACTTCCAGGATTGCATGACAATTGACACAGTGTTCTGTAAGTTGAAAGCATATGATTTTGAAGATAAAGGAAAGTATATATTTATTTATATGATAACAAGTTGCGATTAGATACGCGTGCATGAATCCCAAGAAAAAGAGGGGCGGCATCAAATTGCGGGGAATTGAGGTTTGCATTTTATCGATCCCACAAAACGAAAGAAATTGCTGTTCATGCACGTCAAGACTGTCGACCACCCGATTCGTGTTCTGTTTTCTTGTCTTGCTTTGTTATGACAAATATTGACAGCCTTGGAACAAACCTCGCTGCTTTTCTGACTGGCATCCAAACTTACCCGGCTATTTGTTTAACATAGACATTCAAGTTTTCATCAATTGAGCTTGACATTAGATTTTTCATTGATGGCTGGTAAATAGTCGTGTTCCACTATAGTCTGAAACGACTATTCTCCCAATATAATATTGAACCGTAAAACCAAACCTATTGTTCTCATCTTTTATCTTTTTAAAGCATTAGCGGAAACCTTTTGTGCCATTCCTTGGTTTTGGCCGGAAACAAAATTTACGTGGACAACAATCTCTGGCATTTCCCTTTGAGTAAGGAACTTGTTCTAGCTTATCCAAAATTCGATACCTTGTTTATAGCCGGATTATACTGGAATATTGCTATTCTGCCTTTTTTATATTTGATGATTGAGTGTGTTAAATTAGCCGGATTAAGAAATGGTAGAAAAAAAAGAAAAAGGGACCTCACTTGATGGCATGTCCATCTACATACACTTTCAAACATTCAATCCACAATCAGCAAATCACATGCAACGCATGATCTTCAGATTAGATCGCTTCTCACTAGCGCCAAAGTATAATATAATCTGAAGGGTAAAATTAATCCATATAATTAGTACCAGTACAACAAGCATCCGCAATTCTGAGCGTGATTATCTGCTAAAAGGATCACGCAAATTATTTTGCTAACAGTAAATACAATATTAGTGCTTTAAACCTTAATTAAAACAATTTAAAATTTTAAAATCAAGATGGTTTAAAAACGTTATATGCCATTGTTGTTGTTATTATTATTATTACGACGGTCGTAAAATCTTATCCTGTCCCACTTGATGTTTCATTAATCCAATTTATTCATTTTATTGGAGGCTGGTGGCGTACACACGCACGTCAACAGACTTCTACTCAAACTCTCACTTGAAGAGCAAAACCCAGACACAAACTGTAGCATCGTTTGGGACTTGAAGATCGAGACAAATGGCAATCTCTCCCCTCCACACAAAACCAACAGCCTCGACTTCTTTGTAGTTGCGACGTGTACGTACCGTTTTTTTTCATGTATCCTGTTCGTTAGGCCTTTGTAGACTTGCCTTTTGGCAACCAACATGGCACCTCTCTCAAGCTTTATACTATTATTTTCCCCTTTCCCCTTTCCCCTTACTTCTCAACCAATATTTTTAGCTTAACTACTCGATTTCTTAGGTGGACATCATGTAGTGTGTTAGCTCCACCATCTTTTTAGACAAATTTGAAAGGCAAGGTGAAGTTTCTTATTAGAATTTGTGATGCTCACCTACAATTATGCTTTCCACGAACCGTGTAAGCTATTACCATGACAACCACATGTCAAAAAACACCAAACCCCCCGACACGGCGAGAACATATCTTGCAAGTAAGATACCCACCCTCCAATCAGATCAACGGTTTTCATCAATTACACGTGGCCCTCGGTTTCAGGATTGAATCCAGGATCACCCTCCACAGCTCCACTCTTCCCTCAATTTCTTTCACATAAAAAAAACATGCCTTGTTCAAAGAAAAAAACTGTTGCGCCATTTGTCAAACCGTTTTCCAAGTTATCCGTTTATAATTTCCACGTAAGACTAAGTTTTTTTTAAGTCACCACGCAAGACTAAGTATTTAAATACCCATTTGGGATCTTAAAATCACAAACCGAAAAAAAGAAGAGTTTTTCAGTTTCAGAGATGGAGAGAAAGAGCAGTACTCAGAAAATTTCTTGGAGTAGAGGGAAGTGTTTAGGCAAAGGCTCCTTCGGCACTGTAACATCGGCAACCAATAAATACGACAGTGCCATTTTTGCAGTTAAGTCCGTCGACATAGCAACGAGTCTTCCTAGCCAGTTGGAGTCTTTGGAGAACGAAATTAGGATCCTCCGTTCGCTTTCCTCTCCCTATGTCGTTGAGTATCTCGGCGATGACGTGACCATGAACGAGTCGCTGATGGCGACTTCTCGGAACCTTCACATGGAGTACTTGGCAGGTGGCACCGTTGCTGACGAAGCTATTGTTAGAACCCGGTTGGCTGACGTGGAGGAGAAGATTTTGCGGTGGCACACGCGGTGTATAGTTTCGGCGTTGAATTACGTGCACGGTGAAGGCATTGTGCACTGCGACGTGAAAGGAAAAAATGTTTTGGTGGGCCACGATATATCATCCGTAAAGCTGGCGGATTTCGGTTCAGCGATGGTTGAGATTAAAAACGAAAGCTCGGATGATAGATGTAGGTCCATGATTTTGCCACGTGGAAGCCCACTCTGGATGGCTCCGGAGGTGATTCGCGGTGAGTATCAGGGACCGAAGAGTGATATTTGGTCCTTAGGCTGTACCGTAATCGAGATGGTCACGGGGAAGCCGGCTTGGGAGGTCCAAGGCTTCAACTCACTGAATCGAATTGCTAACTCAGATGAATTACCGGAGTTACCGGCTCAGCTATCCGAGCTCGGTAAGGATTTCGTCGATAAGTGTTTGAGAAGGGATCGGAACCAAAGGTGGAGCTGCGCTCAGCTACTGCAGCATCCATTTGTAGCATCGGCTTCAGCACCGAATATCGTCGGAGAATTATCTCCTCGCAGTGTTCTCGATTTCGCCAACTCGAATTTCGAAAAAGAAGATAACACGGGGAATTCTGAAGCTTCAGCGAGAGAGAGGATTGGTAAATTAGCGACGGAAGGAAGGGTAATTTGGGAATCAGATCGATGGATAGCAGTAAGGGGTTACGCTCCTGAATCATGCGGGAACTATGACGAAGGGACAAGTACGGAACTTCCAGAATCGATGAGAACAAAGAAGGGAACGGAGGGGACAAGTTCGGTATATTCGGGTTCTTGGATGGGTTTGGTATTGTTCGATTCGTTTGACAGCACTAGCAACAGAAACACTGTTTTATGGCAATGCAGTAATTACGAGGGTGTGAAAGGGCTAAAATGGTCGAGTAGTGCACTATGGTGCGACAGCTGGGCTGATTCGTGCTGTCGGGAGAGGCCACAGAAGGAGGAGGAATTAACGATGGAAAAAGGAGAGCGGGGAATCTACATATTTTGTAATCTATTATTACAACTATTTTTGTGTAATTTAAGAATATTCAGATACAGCTTATTGCTATTTTTCAATTACTCTGATTCTTTACATTTCATTCCCAGCCTCAATTTTTTTTATTACGATCATTTATTTTTCCAAGATCAAATCAAACTTTATTTGAAAGGAGTTATTCCATATTTTCCGAGTCATCACAAAGAAAAGGAAATCGACAAAAGCTTAAGGCTTTGACATAGACCACTTACATTGGTGATGGCACACATATTTTTTAGCAATTTAAAAAAGGGGGGGGATTTAGCCAACTCCTTGTTCAAGTTGGTTTAAGGACCAAGACCCATGTCTATCCTAGAGATTGAAATTAAAGTCGAAGAAAGGATACTACTATTCTAAAATTGTTTAAAGTGATTTTAAGATGGAAAAGATAAGAATAACTTTGGACATTGGGAAAAAAGGCACACCACAAGATTGTATCGGTTCAACGCACACGTTGCTGTGCGAGTGTGGGAATGGATAATCTTTCCCTTCATCTAATTTTAAGCCCAGTTTACTTATTCTTATCCATTAAGATATATATGCTTGCTCGGATGACATGAAACAGTCCCGCACAAGAGATTAATAGAAACCAGATAAAATTTAGACCCCATCATCAGTTGGAAAATGAAAGAGACTGCTTGGCCCATGGCAGCTATCAAATCTTCGAACAATTCCTGGACTTGAAGACCATGCTTTGTCAACAAAAAACACGAACCAACTAATTCTTCGTATTGATTATCTTCGGTTAGATTCCTATCCTCTCTTGTTCTGGATTGTAGCTTGGCATTGAACCAACACCATCTGTGTCTCATGGCTTCGCCTTCCCCACTAATGTTCTCTTCCCCTACATTACGCTGAACATGATCTATGGAAACATTCGTAAAGGAAAAGGTACATTTTTTTACTCTCTTTTGGAAGAAAATAGTAGGATGGAGGAAGTGTTTACAACTGTTTTTCAATGTGAATTAAACACTCGCATTTTTCATATAAAAGAATCATAATTTGGCCACAGGGTTATGGCTTGTAGGGTATATTATTACAATAAGAAGGGAAAAAAAAGGAATACGCGGAATTGAAAAATGCTGTAGTGTATGAACAGTAACCTAATGGAGGAACACGTTTTTTTTTAAAATTTCTTCGTCATACAAGTTTTCTAATTTATAACTCTATATATATATTGCATGAATTTAACTACTTCATTAATTAAAAGAATGTTTGTTATTCTTTAATGTTTTGGGTTTGAGCATCAGTGATGCAATAAAATTGATTAAATGTTTATTATTAAATAATTGAAAGTATTTAAAACAAATATTACTTTATAATCATCTTAACTTAATTAAAAATAATTTTATACATGTTATCTTTTTTATTCTTGAAATAACATATTTAGATTATTTCAATAAAAATATTAATTAAGATAACAATGAGAAAAAAAAACATAAAAAATTTATGTAGTATTTGTTTAAAGATAACTCTTAAACATTTAATATTATATGGTCAAATCCCTAATATTTGTGATGCTCGAACTTAGGGATGGCAACGGGGCGGTTTCGGACCAAGGATTGGTCCCCCGTCCCCGTTTAAAAACTCATACCCGTCATCATTTAAAAAATCGTAGGAATTTAAACGGGGATCCCCATCGGGTAATTAGGAAAAACCGCGGGGAAACGTATATCACCGTTTAGCATAAACGGGTAATTTTCACCGCGGGGATAACCATTACCGTTTAAATTTCACACGATGACACGAGTTATTAAAAAAATAATGTCATTATCGGATCTAAACTTACTTGAAACGTCAAACACAACCAAATGCATCCAAAATATAAAAAAAAAACAATTCAAATAGACAAATATAATGACAACGACTAATAATATAATGTTTCAACTTTCATAAACGAAATCATTCTTCCAAAGTTCCAACTTCCAAGTCACGTTAACGACACCACCACCGTCATCAAACAGTTGTGACCCCCGATTGCTACAATTACACACAAAAAATTATAAGCCACCAAAAATTATATAAAAAAATTAATGATATCACGTAATTCCTAATCTCCTTTATATATATATTTTTTAATTTAAATTAAATTTATTAATATTATATATATATATAATAATTATTTTTAAAATTTATCGGGCCGGGTATCGGGCTGGGTATTCGGGTAATCGGGACGGGGATTACCAAACCCGTCCCCGTCCCCATTTAAAAATTTGGTTTTTCCCGTCCCCGTTTATCATCCCCGAAACCGACCCGTTTAATTCGGTTTTCCCCGACGGATTCCGTTTTTTTTGCCATCCCTACTCGAACTTGATAGCTCAAAGAATAACAATAATTCCTTTATTACTAATGTTGCTTTGTTCGCGTCCCTCTATAAATTTTTAAGTACTTACACGTGTGCAGATAATATATTTTTCTCTCTAATATTTTCACCAAATGAATCATACTATAATTTTTTTTAAATAAAATTAAATGGGATTTAAATCAATTTTTACCAGGTGTTGCACATGCATCTATAAATAAAATAAAGGATAAACTACGTATTTAGTACTTAAACTATTAATTTTACTCCGTTTTAGTACTTAAATTTTTATTTTTTTTCAAAATCATACCTAGCGTTTAGTTTTTATTTCATTTAGTACCTCACTGTTTAAAACTTAACGCGTTTAGTACCTAAACTATCATTTTTAGTACCTAAACTTTCATTTTTCCCCCAAAACTTAACGTTAAATTTTGAACGGAGTTCTAAAATGAAATAAAAACTAACATTAGATATTCTATAATTTCCTTCAACTCCTCCAATATTAAATGGATCCGATTCGATTGTGAATTTAATTACGACTCATTAAACTTTATAGAAATTTTAGGGTAAAGTACACAAAATGATCGCTCCAAATATAGGACGTTACTTTAATAAGTTTCTCAACTATTAAAAGTTATAAAATGATTTATTAACTTAAGAGTGTTGTTTTATTGAGTCCTTCAACTATTACAAATTACAAAATGGTCACCCAATTATTTATATGTTCCAAACTCATTATTTTCCATTAAAAAATTAACGATTTTCTGAGCTGGATGTTAACCTGCTGACTAAGATATGATAAGATCATATTTTAAAGATGCTTACTAGCATCGTCATTGCTTTCAAGCACTGACTCGACGTCATGATATTTCAAACATTAACTTGACGGGATAATATAAACGGAGAGTCAATCCACAAAATATAACTCAAACAATTATGTGATTAGATTTTGTCATATACTAGTCAGTAGGTTAATGTCTAGCTCAGACGATCATCAATTTTTTAACGAAAAAGGATGAGCTTGGAACATATGGATAATCGAGTGATAATTTTGTAACTTTTAGTAGTCAGGGGACTCAACAAAACAACACCTTCTAGTCGGGAGACCATTTTATAACTTTTAATAGTTATGAGACTTAACAAAATAACATCTTATAATCAAGGGATTATTTGTGTATTTTACCTAAAAAATTAATTAGATCATTAATAAGCGAGACATAGGAGTTAGAAGATTTACGGGTATGATGATTATTCCATTTAGTTTGAGTTTCGTTCTCAAGTCTTTTGACCATTAAAAAGTGTTAATTTATTTTAGGGTAAATTATGTATTTATTATTTAAATTATCAGTTTTAGTTTGTTTTAGTATCTAAATTTTTAATTTTTTAAAATTATATATAAAATTTAGATAAGTCCATCGTTGACTATTGATAAGTAGCCCAATCTCGTAGTTTAGGATTGATTCACTCATCTGCAAAGTGGACTCTACCAGCTGGCAAAACTCACGAGATATTGCTGTGAAAAAAAATAATTCACGTGATAATGCTGTATGTTGAAACTTAAGAATCAATACAGATAGGGCCTGTATGTTGAATAGTGGCTATGCTGCATTTGCTGGTGCTACAAGGGACGCTGATGGAGAGTGGCAATTCTGATTCACGAAGACCATTGGTGTATGTTCAGCATTTGATGCGAAACTTTGAGGAATATATGAAAGATTGAGCAATATATGCAGGGACGCATGAATTTATTTTAAGGGGTGTATACTTAAAAAGTTATATTAAAGATTTTAGGGTGTGTCAAATTAAATCATCAATAAAAAATACAAAGAAAAAACCTAAGATATAAGGGAAATTAAAATTTTTAAGGAGTGAGACTGCAAATCTGTAGCCCCAACACCCCCTCTCGATCAATCCCTGAATGCATGGAAGATGGAATTTCGTTCTGTCGTAAAAGAAACTGTTATTAGAAAAGCTATTAATCTTTTGAAGCATGTCACGAAATCAGCATTTGGATCTTCGATGTTGTCGACTATTGTTGAATTGATGCAGAGAAGCTGGGTTGTGAAAGTAAAATTTGTTTGTCGTGAAAGGAATTAGGTCGCTGACGCTTTAGTAAAACTGGCATGGCAATTGCCATTTGGAATCAATCACTTTGGAGAACCGCCTGATGTTGCTCGTAACATAGTGCTAAAGGAGCAGACTGCATCTACTTTAGTCTCTTTAGTATAGTTTTCTGATTATTTCTTTTCCATTATAGTAAAAGAAATGGTTTGTAGCATGCGTTTTTGTTATAACGTAATCAGGCCACATGTTGTTCTTTACTCTTGAGCATGCCTGGATCAATAATATGGTCCATTTTGGGACGAAATTAACATCACCAAGTGCTGGTTGCTCTCTGTCGGCTTATTGAAAGCTTGGACTCAACTAAATTTAAAGCCTAAAAGTTAGGGTAGTGTGGGAGAGGGCATCTCATCCCCTTAGTAGCTCTATTGTTGATTGAGTTGAGTAAAAGTGTTTTTTCCTTATTTTGCTGCCACCCATAGAATATGCATTCATGCTTTACAAGCGCTAGTAATACCCGAAATGAAAAGTGGGTGGAGATTTTGCTCCATTAACACCACGTCCAACGACTAGGATGGGGTTGCCTCCAATGTCCATATATCCCGCTAAAGGATTCCATTGCATATCCTGATGAAACCAGGGTAAGTTTTTGGGTGTGTTTGGTTCGCGGAATCTTACATTACCGGGAATACTTTTTTCCCAATAGTAACATTTTTTGGTTAAAATGATGAGAATGTCATTATCTCCAAATTCTTAGGTAATCTTACATTCCCATCACTCTGGACAAGAATACCCTTAGACTAATGAATTCATTTTATAATTATCCTTCTAAATTCTTATTTTTTATACTTTACTCAAAATAATAATAATAATAATAATAATAATATACAAAGAGTTTGATTTACTAAAATATTAATAATTTTGAGTATTTAAAATATTTTATATTTGTAATATTCAATATTTTATTATTTTTAATTTTATGGGATGAAAAAAATAGTATTATTGTAAAAATGTAATTATTTAAAGTAATATTATACTACCATAATATTATTTTTTATATTATATTATATATAAATAAATATAATACTTATGAACATTATTTAAAAATATAAATTTAATATACTAATTATATTAATTATATATTAAATGTAATTTCTCCTCAAAAGTTAGATAGTATAATGATTAAAATATTTTTATGAATTTTCATTCAAATATTTATAAATTAATATTAAAGTTTAACTTTAAAAAATATATCATAAGGATAATTTGGTAAAATATGCATACAAGTAATCTTATATTTCTCCAACCAAACATTGTAATCTTACAGTCCTGCTAAACAAACCAAACAAGGTAATACAATATTCTCATAGTAACGTTACATTCCAGTAATCAAACGCTCCCTAAGTTTTTGTTTGGAATACAATAGGGTATTCATCTGTTCACCGAGTCTAACTAGAAAGCATAAATTAGTTAAACTCAGTTTAATCATATTAACATACTATTCTGATTAGATAAGATTGGATTAACTTACAATTGGTCGTTACACACAATATATATATATATATATATATATATATATATATATATTTAAAAAAATAATATATGATTCAACCTATCAAGCGACATCAGTGGTTAAAAGAAGTGTTGATGTTATTCTCCTTAGGGGTCTTAAGTTTGAACACTTGTGCATGCAAAATATATGCATTATAAAAGGCTAATAAATATTATGAGTATTATTATCCGTTATTCGATGGAATAAGTTGAGATATTTTATTTATCTTCTTAGAAATGATACTTCTTAGAAATGATATTTCTTATCATTTAGATTTTAAACAGCAACTACAAAAACATCAAATACAAAAAAAAACCCTCTAAACAACAAGAATTTATAAAAAAATTACAAGTTTTAAAAAGGTTCGAAGAAAATTTGTCTAAATAAATTATGATGAGACAATTAATATCTAAAATAACTTGAAAGAATACAATTTTAATGACAACAGTAAAAAATAAAAGACAATCCTGAAGACTGAAGAGGTTTTTAAAAAAAATAAAAAAATTAATTGTTGTTTCATGTAAAAGAAATTATGTAATCTAATCGTTTTAGACCTAACCGTAAAGAGACAAAAATAATTTTTTTTAAATAATGTTATAATTTTAATTGTGTATAATTCAAGTGACCAAAATTGAAGTAGGGTTAAATTTCGATGACTAATGATTAATGTTATTTTTTTTATCAGAAAAAGAGGAAACACAAAAAGCCAGCAATTCCATTCAGCTCCGACCTGAGGCAGGAAGCCTCTATTAGCGACCCGAATAAAAACGCCCTAAAACCCAAACACCCTCCTTTCTCTCATTATTGATGGAAAAAAAAACACTGACTACTTTTACATTTTGCGTAAATCTCACGCCGCTTCCTTCCTGGCTACTGCAACAGTTAAAAACAAACACTTACTCCCTCCCTCTCCCGTTCTCCCCTTTTTATGAAAAACCCTAAATTTCCCGATCTGTATTCTGCACCTCTTTGGGAAAAAGCGGAAAACAATAGCTGCACTCTAAAAAAGCACTTATGGCAAGCAAAGAGCCCGAACACGAGCACAGAGAAGACGGAGAAGCACCCGCCGCCGAAGATGAAGACACCGGAGCTCAAGTGGCTCCCATTGTCAAGCTCGAGGAAGTCGCTGTCAGCACCGGCGAAGAAAACGAAGATGCCATCCTCGATCTGTCAGTATTCTTCTTATATAAATATTTTTTATTCCAATATTCGTTTATTTTCTACAGATCCGAATGGTCCGATTAGACATAATTTTATTTACCAGGAAGTCGAAGCTGTATCGATTTGATAAAGAAGGGAATCAATGGAAAGAGAGAGGAGCTGGTACTGTGAAGCTTTTGAAGCACAAAGAGACGGGGAAAGTTCGTCTTGTCATGAGGCAATCCAAAACTCTCAAGATCTGTGCCAATCATCTGGGTATCTTCTCTTCCTCAATCCTGTTGCTGCTTGTTTCTTTTTCCCTACTCTCTGAGTTCATAGTCTGTATAAAAAATTGTGCAGTGTTGCCGACGATGACGGTGCAGGAGCATGCTGGGAATGATAAGTCGTGCCTGTGGCACGCTGCTGACTTTTCAGATGGTGAATTGAAAGATGAACTTTTCTGCATTCGTTTTGCATCCGTGGAAAGTAAGTATATTTTACTTTGAATCACTTCGCTACTTTGCTAAATTCGTTGATGTTTCAATTCTTTTCTTAATTTTTAATTACGATCTGGATCTGCATATCAGGGTTTTTCTAACTCAACAGAATTTCATAGATTGGACTAGCTGAGCATTTTGTTTAGTAGTTCATTCTTCCTAAATTTTCTTCTCTTATTGACTGAATGAATTCTTGGTTGAACACGATAATGATTGCATTTTACTAATTTATATCATGAAGTTGCAATTGACTCTCCCACATACGTATCGATTACTACTACCACTACTACAATCCTGTATGCTTAAAGTATGGAGTGAACTTCAATTTTTCACTGCTCAGGTATCTTATGTTGACATCAAAGGAAATTGGAAGCATTTTATGTGTTAACCATAGTGATTTTCTTCGGTTTGATATTTACATTCTTGGAAAACTAATACTATGGTACAAGGTTAAATTTAATTTCTTATTGATGCCAAATGGCTAGGGGTGAGCAAAACTTGACTCAAAAAATTGATTTTTTCCAATTCTAAGTCATTCGAGTCAACTCAAATTATCAATTTGGTTTTCGAGTTCGAGTCGAGTTAAAATTTTTAAATTTCGAGTTACTTGTAAAACAAAAAATTTGACCAAGTATTATGAGAATTTTACAATAGTCCCTGATTTCATTATTCCTTCAATTTCTCCTTCATTTTAAGTCCATTTTTTTACCAAATTTGAACCATATGCTCCTAAACCATCGTAGAATACATATGTACTTTCAATTCCTCTTTTAGATAACAAAATTTCTATTTTTCAATTTAGTCTCAATTTTTTATAATTTCCTAATTTCTTCAATGCATCCTTTTTTTTTAAGTCTTTTTTGTGAATTTGAACCACATGCTCATATATCACAATAGAGTACCTATGTAACTTCAATTCTTACTTTTTTAATAAAAATGTACTCTTTTTAATTTAGTCCCTTAACTTTGCATTTTACTCAATTTGGTCTTTTGACTATAATTGTTTGCAAATTCTTTCTTCCCATCAATTTCTTGACTCCTTTATACTCTCCTCAATATTTTACCCTCAAAATACTTTCTTTAAAATAAAATTTTATGAATATATTTTATAATTTTAGATTGTATTTAATATATTGAATAACATCATAATGTAAAAAGAATATAAAATATATATGTATCTTATATGGTTATAGAAAGTCAAAAAATTGGAACAAATACTTGCCATAATACTATAAGTAATTGTAATAAATTAACATAGACACTCGAATAACTCGACTTGAAAATATTTCTATTTAAGTTCGAGTTGTAAAATGCGACTTGTCAACGCGAATGACCTGAAATTTTTTAACTCGACTCGATTTGATCGAATCTTACCCCTACAAATGGCGTTTAGATAAGATATGTACTCTAGGATCCCCAAAGGAAGATATTTGAAATTAACTGTTGTTGCTTGGGAATTATTGTCATGATCATGCATGTTTGAATCCTTGAGCTGAATTGAAATCTTTTAGACTTGATAAAATCTGTTAAATATATTATTTGGCCCTTTAATTTGCTAGCAATTCTTTAGAGATTGATTTACCATGAAAAGTGCTTGGATGGAACTGTGAAAGTTGACTCTATTTCTTATTTGAGTGGAAAGTGTTTAGAGAATCAATTACAGTTAACAGAGCTGGGTTGAGATTGTTGTTATGGATGACTGCAATGGTTGTTGGAGATCTGGCTTGTTTTTTATTTTATTATAATGACTTTTTTGCTTTGAGGGAATAAAGCCTTTTGGTTTTTACTGACTTTACATTATTCTTAAAATTAGATTGCAAAACCTTTATGGAAATGTTCCAAGAGGTTGCTGAATTGCAAAAACCGAATGAGGAAAACAAAGATGCATCTGCTGCTGCGGAGTCACTTGAGAAGTTGAGCGTCAAAGAAAAGAAAGCTGAAGATAAAGCTGGTAAGGCTGTTGCTACAAATGAAGGAAAGGAAACAAAAGCCTATGATACAGATAAAGCAGATATTGAGAAGAAAGATGGGGAGGCAACTTCCTCTACTTAAAAGAAGGTTGGGTTTGTTTTCCGTGCCATTGTCTTTTGGGGAATATGGGAGTTTATGGGTTGGAATGGTCGAGCTCTTTTGTGTACTTGGGTTTGGGGCGTTGTCGAGGGTTGGTTAAACCCTGTCATATTTAAAGTCATGTCGAGGATAGATTTCATTCAACTGGGTTTTTTGCCTGGTAGTAGTAGTGGTACTTTGTGTCAAATTTCTTTTGCTGCTCTGCCCATGCATAGAGAGAGTTGGGGGTTTTGAACAAAAAAAAAGTTGGGGATTATTATTTTGAATATTTTTTTATGTGTTTCAAGAGTAAAAAGATCTCGTTAAAGGGAATTTGGTTTTGCCAGAAACGGCTTTTATAATTCAGTTGTTGGCTTCAACAAAAACGCATATTATATTTCTACGGTATTAAGAAATTATTGCATAATGGAAAAACCCAAATATATTTAATTAGAGCTGTTATCTCATTTATGATGAAAGAATCCTCCTAAGCTTCTCCCTGTAAAATCTCGTGTTATGATGTAGTTGAGGATTTTTTTTGGAATTTGAATTGGAGGCAACAACAATGTCGGGGGTGCAATGAGAGAGGAGATTCGTAAATGGTGGGGAAATGATTGTCTTATGGCCAACCATTGCACCGTGCTTCAAAGAAACAGGATTATAATCTCAGTTCCCATATGCGAGAGAATCATGTCCTTGGACTGCGAGTCTGAACATTGCAGAACTAAAGAATGCGAGCATCATTCCACACTTGTACATCCAGCCCCTTACTACAAATATATCTTTAGAGGAGTAAACCTTTCTACAACCATGAATTAGAAGCACTCCCTTGAATGTTGATTTACATCACCAAGACCAAGGACTGGGCAAATTTATCACGTTTAGTAAAAAAATCCACCCTTGTTTAGCGAGCAGAGCATTACTCGTCGATATTGCTGTACGAATCTCTTGTACACCATAGTTTTAACGGCTAGCACAGAAGATCCCAACTACACGGCTTTTGTGTGCAATCATGATCATAAATAACACCAACATAAATTCCAAACTATTTGGTTAATCTTCTGTTATGACTCAAGAGCCAGCCATGCCAACTCAACAAACTCTTAAGCCTTGTTGGTTACGGCAACTGGCTATAAAAGGCAGTAGAAAATAGAAGAAAAGGCTTAAAAATATTGTTACGATCTGTTACTCTCTCCCCTTTTAGTTTTCTCTCTATTCTTCCCTCGTATTTCTCATTCTATCTTTCTCTATTTGCTGTAACTTCTTGTTCTTTAGTGGAATACAGCTTAAGTTCATAACATCTTTCCAGTCACAAATTAACTGACAAACGATGCAAGAGTTGTTGGGTTTTTTTTTTGGAATTTGTAAAAAAAAAATAATTGCACTCATAATAATACGTAACGTGATTTGATTTCTTTAACATATTATATTAACCATTACGAATAATAATAAATAATATGTAATGTGATTGAACGTTTATTGTCAAATGATTAAGAGTATTTAGTACATTTAGTAATTTATAATCATTTTAGTTTAATAAAAAAAATCATACTCACACCTTGTATGTATTTTGAGTATGATTTTTTTAACGGAAAAAGATACAAACCCTCCAATGAATTACCAAAAGATGATATTTCTTAACGCCTTTGAAAATTAAATATATATTCTGTTTATAAGATATATTATTTGATTATAAAAAAATTAATTACCAAATAATCTTCTTCATCGAGATTTCCTGGCTGATGAGATTTTCAAGCCAAACAATCGGCTGAAAGAATTATCTCTTATTTTTAAAATAAAGAAATGCTCGGTATGCATGCCCAAATACTTGGGAGTTTCTCCTCTTTGAACACCAAGAATTAGAAATAACTCCGACATGGGAGAGAACTCATGACTTGCCATCAGTAATCGAAAGTATTCATATGTATACATGCAAGCTAATTTTAAAATAATTTATATTGGGTTAGTTTTCTATTTTTTTTTTAAACTTAAAAAACTGCGTGAATAATTAAACTTACTAAATAAAGAGTGTAAAGTAACATTACTATTTTGCCAGCGACTCTACACAATCAAGCCACTAATCCCAACTAGAATAAACCCAAAACACCCTCCTTTTTTCTCATTATCGTCCAGAGAAAACCCTCACTCCCTCTCCCCTTCTATAAAAACCCTAACAGCCTATATTCTCTTTCGCTTTGTTATCTCGATTAAAAGAAATAGGCACGACTCACCCTTAAAAAAACGTTATGGCAAGCAAAGAGCCCGAGCTCGAGCATAGAGAAGACGAAGAAGCTCCCGCCGCCGATGATGAAGATACCGGCGCTCAAGTCGCCCCTATTATCAAGCTTGAGGAAGTCGCTGTTAGCACCGGCGAGGAGAACGAAGATCCCATCCTCGACCTGTCAGTATTTTTCTATTATTTATATTTCCGATATTCGAATATTCGTTGATTTCTCAAGAGATCCGATTGAAATGAATATAAGTAACTTTATTTTCTAGGAAGTCGAAGCTCTATCGTTTTGATAAAGAAGGGAATCAATGGAAAGAGAGAGGTGCTGGTACTGTGAAGCTGTTGAAGCACAAAGAAACTGGAAAAGTTCGCCTTGTTATGAGGCAATCTAAGACTCTCAAGATCTGCGCCAATCATCTAGGTATCTTCTCTTCCTTCTCTGTCTCTCCCTAAATTAAGTTTCTGTGCCAGTGTTCCTTTTTCTTCCATTTTCTGATTATTTCATAATTTTGCAGTGTTGCCGACGATGACAGTGCAGGAGCACGCTGGGAATGATAAATCCTGTTTATGGCACGCTTCTGATTTTGCAGATGGTGAATTGAAAGATGAACTTTTCTGCATTCGATTTGCATCGGTTGAAAGTAAGTATATTTTACTCCAAATCATTTGCTACTGCGCAAGGGCAGTTCCATTAAGCCCCTGCGTGCCAAGTGCATCCCATTATTTTGGAAAAAATGGTTAAATCTAATTTAATGTCTTAAGGATAAAGAAATATTTTTTTTGCATATCTATTATCTTTAAGAAAAGAATATTAAAATTTTGGACCCTTTCTTAAATTTCTAGATCAGCCACTGCTACTGTGCTAAATGAAATTGATTATTTCAACTCCTTATTTAATCTCCGATCTAGATCTACACATCAGGACTTATTAAGTAAACGGAATTTCTTCGAGTGGACTAGTAAGAGCATTGATATTTTCTTTGAGTAGTTAGTGACTTGCATTTTAATCAAGTGTTCATATCTTGTTGAATGTTTGAATGCTTGGTTGAACACGATTTAAATATTTAAAATGAATTTCATAGTAACTGAAATTTTACTTTTGTTCAATATGTGTGAGTTGGTATCAGTTTCAAAATATGCATTGAAAAATGATTGCATTTTACTAATTTATAGTATGAACTGGCAAACAAATTTCTCAATTAAATGTTGAGTAATACTAGTTCTGTTTTCTTAAAACTTGCAGTTAACATCAGTTTATTCCCCAGTAGCCCATGTTGAATTTGAAGGAAATTGAAAGCATTTTTGCTTGTTAACCTTGGTGGTTTTCATGGGTTTGGTATTTCCCTTTTTTGAGAATAAATCAAATGGTATAAGGATAAATTGAATTTCACTGTTGATGACACGTCATTTAAATCGGATGTGTGCTCTAGCATGTCCAGTTGAATAAGCTTAAATTAACTGTTGCTGCATCTGAATTATTGCTGTATTGTGCACATGATTGGATCCTTGAGTGTCTTTTAGACATGATAAAATTAATTATGCGTATGATTTGACACTTTAATGTAATAACCATGCTGGAGAGCTTAATATACCATGTAAAATGGAACTTTGAGTCCTCTTTATCATTTCGTGGGAAGTGTTACAGAGATTATCAGTTACAAAGAATAGAAATGGGTTATGATTGGGGTTATCAATGGCATGTGATTGTTCTTTGTAATTTGGCTTCTGTTTGGTTTTAATACAATGACTGTTTTGCTTTGAGGGAATAATGACATTTGGATATTACCGATATAACTTTTTTTTTCTTAAAACTAGATTGCAAAACCTTTATGGAAATGTTCCAAGAAGTGGCTGAATCACAAATATCAAATGAGGAAAATAAAGATGCATCTGCTGCTGCTGAGTCACTTGAGAAGTTGAGCGTTGAAGAAACGAAAGATGAAGTTAAAGCTGAAGAGGAGAAGGATGTTGCTACAAAGGAAGAGAAGCAAACAGAAAAAGCAGATGTTGAAAAGAAAGATGGGGAGGCAGCTTCCTCTACCTAAAGGGAGTTTGGGTTTGCTTTCCATACCCCAAGGCTTTTGGCGAATATGGTGAGATTTGTATTCTTTGAAACTAAATACGTAATATATGAGTTGGAATGGTCGAGGTCCTTGTGTCCTTATATTTGGGTGTGTGTCAAGGGTTGGTCAAACCCCGAGTTCTTTGTCAGTCGTGTTTGCGTGGTTAGTGCGTTTGGGATTTGGACAGAGTGGAGGAGGATTCATTCAACCGGAGTTTTCCTGGTAGTAGTATCAGCGTCAGTTCAATTTCTGCTCCGACCATCCATTAATTACTTTTGAAATTTATATATATCTGTGTCTCGAGAGTTGAAATTTTGGGTGAAAAAGAATTTGGTTTGCCAGAGTTCGCTTCAGATATCCATTCTATTTCTACGTTATTAAGAAACGAGTATAAATGAAAGCCCGTAAAATTTATATGATTAGAGCAATTATTTTGTGGTCATTTGATGCGTGTAACAAAGGAGACTAAAGGAAAGACGAATCCACAAAGGACAAGCGGGGGAGCACATTTGGAGAAGCAAATGGCCTAAGCGTTTGGTCCGTCTATGAAAGTAACTTGAAGCCGGATTTGAGATAGCAATTCGTAAGATCCTTAGCGTCCGCGCTATGGACAGCAAAGGTAGAGAACGATGTTAGGAGAACTAAGATAAATACTAAGGTTCCGTTCAATTTTTAGAAAATATATATATTTTTTATTTTTAGAAAATAATTTTCATTATTAATATTTTGAAAATTAAAAAAAAATATTTGTAGTTATTATAAATGGAAATTTGAACTCGTAAATAAAATTATATTAAACATATTTGATATACATTTTTTCAAAAATTGAGACGAACAAATTGTCAAAGTATAAATTTAGAAAAAAAATTATATATAAATTTAATATGTGAATTATAAATAGAATAAAGCTGATAAGAAATTTTATAACATAATTTTTTTAATTAGTCATTAGTATTTGATTTATTGATCGATTAATTCATATCAAAAATTGCAAAGGTGATGATGACCCTTCCAACTCATTTTGTTCCATTATAACACAAAATTTTAGTTTATAATAAAAATACAATATTAATGCATATTGAATATTAATTAAATTAAAAAATAATAAAAATATTGTTGTAAACAAGAGCACATAAAAATATCATTAAAATAAAAAATATGTTTAGTAGTATTTAAGGTCTTTAAACTTTTGAAAAAAAACTAGTTTATGAAAAAAATCCATCTAATTCTTTGACTAATAAAATTAAATATTGAATGTCACAACGTTTACATGACAGTTTACAAAGCTTATAAGCCAATCTACAATATTAATGTAATAGTTTATGATGTTGTTGTGGTAGTTATTGATAGATGATGATGTGGTAGATGTGTTTAATTAATTTTTTTAGTTAAGTTTAAAGGCCTAATTGATTCTTTTAGACAGTTTAAGGATTTAATTATTTTTAAAAAAATTAAAAATATTTAAATTTAAAATATAAAATAGGTAAAAATGCATTACATGCCTATGTATTTTTATAAAAAAAAATCAATATGACCCTCTAACTGAAAAAAAAAACTCAATTTGAAGATAATAACATTCTCATAATTTTAACTCAAAAATACTATTAGTAGTAATAAATTATTACATAGTAATGATATTTTCCGTAAATAAATATGTGAATACAATTATGAAAATAAATCATTCTTCTTAATAATGATATTTTCTACTAACTAAATGTCTAGTTAATGATATGAAAAGGGAGAGATAATCCTTGTTTCAGTAGGTACCGTTAAAACCATATATAATACACATTTCAGATCAAGAGATATGAAAGGGTTGGACCCTCTATGATTTAGCAAATCCCACTTACATATATTAAACAATATAAAACAGACCAATATATGTAAAAGAAGAAAAAGTGGTTGATATTATCATTTCCAGAGACAATAAAACGTGCTACATATTCGGAACCCGGGAACCCCAATAAATGCGTCACCCCTTAGTGGTGATTATATAGGGATTCGATTACGAATTAATAGTATTCCACTCGAACTCGTTAAAAAATTTTATTATTTGATTGAATTATTTACTAATTAAATTTGTTAAAATTTTATTTAAATCGTGCTCGTTAAGAAAATTTGTTGCTCGACTCATTGCTCGTTAAGTTCGTTAGAATTTTACTTGACTCATGATCCTTAAGAAAATTTGTTACTTAACTCGTTACTCGTTAAACTCACCGATTTTTAACTACAAGTTAAATCTACTAATACTATATAAAACTTAATATAAACACAAATTAATAAATTTAACAAAAAAAATATTTAAAATCTAAACACTAAAATAACAATCCATAAATAGATTAAAATTATAATAATTACGGCTTTATTTTTTGGTGTAATAAAATAATAATTATTAATATATAATATTGTATTTTTAATTATTTATTAGAAAATTAATAGATTAATAATTTATCTTTTTTATTATATGTTAGTAAATTAGTAATTTTTATTGGAATAGTTTTTTTAAAAATAACAACTAAAAAGTTATAAAAAGTTAACTAGTTACTCGCAAATTTATTTAGTCGAGTTAAACTTTATTAGACTCAATTAGTTAAAATCTCAAACCAATTTTAAATCGAATTAAACCAAATTAAATTTTTATCCAATTTTAATCGAATCAAATTCAAACTATTAATAAATTACTCAAGCCATTAAACACCCTTATCACCCCCTAATTGAAGCGGCAACTCCATGTTATATTGCTGTGTGTACGTTATAGGGTAAAGTATGTATTTCATCATTAAACTTTAATATTATACTATATAATATTCCCCGTCCGGAAGTTTGTACAAACGTCCTATCTCTGTTGCCTGCTGTCTTGACTCATGCATTGCAGTTCACGACGGCATTGAAAGGAGAAACCATCAGTTTTTGGCGAACGCATGGCATTGGCACTGCCAAGACATCTGGCTATTCGTCTGGTTGCACGGCACTATCATTAGTCGCCCGGCACACCGTTCAACACATCCCTCATTTTCTTAACCCTACTTTTGGAATTGTTTTCTCAATCTAAACTAATATATTAATATTATAAGATATAATACAATTAGAAAATGCTCCCATTCTTCCAATTAATTGGGGCCATTTTTTATTTGCTATTATTATTCTACTTGCTTTACAAAACTGCAATATTTTTATAATTATTTAATATATTAAAAACATCACAAACATATATTGTTAATTGAAACTTTGAAAATAAAAAAATAAAAAAAATACAATGCACTACTTTTATGTTTTTGTTTATTTTACATTGAAAGAAAACTGGTAATCATCATTTAAACAATAAATAAATAAAAAACGAGGTGAGAAGAAAGATGCGAGTTTGTTGACTCTGTTGCATGCCCATGTGAACATGGATGGATATTAAAACCAAGCCGCTTTGCCCATGCCATTTCTCTTTCTTCCCGACTCTGCACAGTCTCTCTCTCTCTCTCCCATAACAAATTAAGCAACAGATACAAAAGAGATTCGGAAAGTTGTCTAAAGCCTCTTCCCTTTTTCTCTGTAAGTTATTTTCTTCATTTTCGCACTAATCTTCTTCTTCTTCTTCTGCTACTACTATTTTTCAACAAAAAAAATCAATTAGCGATTCGGGATAGTTTTCTGGGTTCTGGAAATTGAGATCGGCCTTTAGGTTATAACATGCCTACCCGCATCCTACTCAAATGATTTTAGAGATTTGTCACACCTCTTCATGATATTTATGATGTAGAAATCTATCAGATGTTCTGCTCTTCTATTATTCCTATCGACTTATTTGATTATCCGCATCAAATCAACGCGTTTTGAGTGATACCGTTTCTATCCGATTTTGGTTTCTTCTGGTTATCCATATCCGTCCCAAAAAGTTGTCCTTATCTTGCTTCTATTTTTTTTTTTGTATTTTTGCAAATAAATTAGTCTTAGAATGACGGAATGCATCGAAACACAGCTGGATGACTGCTTCTCAAAGTTGTACAAACAATTGAATTACTGCTAATAGTCTTAATTGTCTTTGAAGTCAGAGTACAACTCAACTGACGCTAATAATGCGTGTGCTTTCTCCTCATACTATAGCTGGAGTCCATGCCCCATTTGATATTTTATGGAATGGAACAAATCAATTGAATCATTCATTTTACCAGCTATATTCATGTGCAAATGCTAATACTCTACTAGTAGTGTAATAATGTTTAAGTATTGTAACCCTATATTTTTACGTACAAGTACTAATTTTGCTGTTATGTAGGTTGGATACTGATTTGCACTGTTTCACTGAACCCAGGTTTTTTTTATACCCGATACTGATCAGTGATCCGCACACTTCTAGCCAGCTTCCAAGATGGCAAATTCTTCAGTACTAAATTAATCTGTTCCTTTTCCTAAACATACTTCTTTCATTAGCTTACTTAACTATATCTACAACTATACATGTCTAGGTTCTTTTTATATTTTACTTTTATGATAGCAAGCATTTAGCATTAGCATTTTCCAGTTCTGAATTTTCTTACTGCAATTTGTGTGTAATATCCTCTGCTTCTAGCCTAATAATCCAAGCTCAGGCTCAATATCTACTTATTCATGTTATGATTCTAGTCAAAATAACAACATAAGCTATGTAGTGTAAATCAATAATACAAAATGTTCTTGCATTCTGATGCCACCAATTAATTCTTTATTTATAAAAAAAAATATACTAGTCTATAGCTAAAGCAGATCTTTTCCTATTTAAAAGATTTTATCTAGAGTTTTTGTTCAAATAAATTTTGAAAAATAGCATTATCGATTGTGCAGTGAAGATGTTATATGTTTCTTAATTTTGTTTTTTCTTTTCTTTTCATTTTAGGGTCATTTAACTAAAAGTATGAAGAGACTAGAATCCAGAAAGACACATTCATGGTGGTGGGATAGCCACATCAGCCCCAAGAATTCAAGGTGGCTAGCAGAAAATGTTGTGGGTAAGTTCTAAGTAAGGTGTTGCTATAATTCCCCCCCCCCCCCCCCCAACACACACACACACAAAAAAAAAACATACGCACCCACCAACCAAATCCCCTTTCCAGAATTCAGGCAACTAATCAATTTGAGTTAAAGCAAAGTAGTCAATACCATAGCGGCGGGTTTCTGGTTTTTCTCCAGTACTGGCACTCGGTACCAGTGTGTTTTCTGTATACCATTTAAGGTTTATCGTTATTTTTAAAGCATTTTTCAATATATATATATATATATAATACAAATATACCTCAATTACATGCGTATAAATATATTTATATTAAAATATAAGTCTTAATATTATTAAATAAGTTAATGCAAAAAATAAAAAAGATGTAAGATATAAAGAATTAGAAGTTAGTTTAAAATATTAAAATCTTTTACTAATCAGTATCGACCGAAATAGGTCAAAACACACCAAAATTTTAACCTGAACGGTACTTGAATTACTTAGTACTGGTTTAAGATCGGTACTGGTACGGTATTGACTTTTATGGGTCGAAGACCATAAGATTATAGCAAATACTTCAAGTTCATACATGCCTTTTCTTGTTTCCTTTGTCACAACTGAAATGAGATATCATAGGCGATTTAAATCTTAATTCTTTCCTGTGTTCGCCGAGTGGTCTTTTCCTTTCTTGTATGCATGTCAAAGGTAAATGTTGTAGGTGTTTTACATCTTCTTGAGCTGAACAGTTTGTTACAATGTTTAAATGCTTGATCTTTCTTTTGGGTGAAGCGAAGAGATGTTTAGGTTCTAAAAGAAGCAAAAGTTACTAAATTAGAAATCAGGGTAGTATACTATTAGTCACTTCCGCTCTTATCGTAATTCTGGTGCTTTTCTCTTTTGCATCTCAGAGAGAATTTTGTTTCTGAAATCAATAAAATACTGGAAATGTCAAACAATAAAATAACATTAAGATTGTTGAATACAGAAATGGATCGCAGCGTCAGACAGACGCTGAAGCTGATTGAAGATGATGGAGATTCATTTGCAAAAAAGGCTGAGATTTATTATCAAAGGAGGCCAGAACTTGTGTCTCACGTTGAGGAGTTCTACCGCATGTATCGATCTTTGGCAGAGCGTTATGACCACTTGACAGGAGAATTGAGGAGGAATATTCCATCTGACCTCCAGTCTCAGGGTTCCGACTTTTCTGATATTACTTCTGATCTACCCTCGAATTGGCCAGCTTCAGACCAAAGGCTTAGTCGCCGTAAATCTGGCCCACGAGCTGCTGGTTTTACTGTCTTCCTTGGTTCTGGTGGGAGTGATGTGTACCAGAAAGAGGACGACGAGTTATCTACTCGAACAGATTCTGAAACAGAATCTGATGCTTCCTCAGTCAATAATTACTCAGTTTTTTCAGGGAATGGGAGTGATCAAGGGTTGAACAGGAAAATGGTCGAGTTGGAGATTGAGCTCCATGAAGTGAAACAGAAGCTACGGATGCTAGAGGAAGAAAATACAGATGGTTCGGTGAGGGGGGCAAAAAATAATAATTCTGAACTTCTTGCTAGAATTAGGGAGTATGAGGAAAAACTTGAAATTGCTAACAGAAAAATACAGCTCACTGAAGAAAAAGTCACCTGGTTGAGGATCGAGCTCCAAAAATATAAACCGCTAGAGGCAGCCGACTCGGACTCATCTGAAGAAGGAAGTGTCAAGATGCACAAGACAGAGCAGATTGAGGTAAATCAGGCATTAATGGATCTTGAAAGTAAGAATGGTATATCTGAGAAAGATAATAGACATGCAGATGGCAAGATGCAAGCACTGGTGGAAGAATTAAGCATCACTAAAGAGATTCTCCAGGGTTCTGAGAAAGAAATTGCTAGTTTGAAGCTGGAGAAGAATCAATCTTATGAAAAAATTCAAAGGTTGCAGGGTATGCTTGACACGGCTCAAAGGGAGATAGTCACATGGAAATCCAAACTGAATACAGAGAAAAGAGAGGTCTCCAAGCTGCAGGATAGAATTGCAATGTTAAAGAATAGTTTATCAGACAGGGATCATGAGATCCGGGATTTGAAGATAGCTGTATCTGATGCTGAGCAGAAGATTTTCCCCGAAAAGGCTCATATCAAAGCTGAAATATCAAAATTGTTGGAGGGACGAATTTGTTTGGAAGAACAGCTCAGAGAATGGGAAGCACGTGGCCGGTCCTTGGAGGAGGACATCAGAAAAGCTGTGAATGATAAAAGAGAATCAGAGGAGAGGCTTCGTGGGGAAATTGAGCATTTAAGACTGGAGATTGCTGAGAGAAGCGATTGCATTAAAGTTTTGAATGAAAACCTCGAGACATTAAAAGCAGAGAGGGATATGCTTGAGAATAGTATTGTATCACTGAGAGCAGAGATTAGTTCTAGGGATAATCAGATTGTTGAAATGGACGAACATCTCCAAGAATTAAATGTGGAACATGTGGAGCTAATTGCTAGTGCTGAAGGGGCAAATAAATTGGTGGAGGAACTGGAATCAAAAGCCAAGGAAGTAGAGGATGTGATTGAGAGGCAAAGAATCACAATACTGGAGGGAGCAGAAGAGAAAAGAGAAGTTATAAGGCAGCTTTGCTTCTCCCTTGAGCATTACCAGGATAGGTATCATTGGCTTCGGCAAGCATTTATGGGGCAAAAGAGAGTTCCAGTTTTGACAACATAAATAAGCAATGCTACAGAGAACCATTTCATTTTACTTGGTTGCTCAATTTTTTTGTTTTGAGTGAAGTATCTACATTATTGCACAAGTCCCTGAAGGTGTCTTTGTCATCTCCTGCGTGTTTAATGATAGAACAGTAAACAGAAGTTCCACTTTAGATGGAAAATGACAGGTTTGCTCACAATGCTAGCGCCAAGAAGATGCTCTCTAATTATGCTCGAAATGTCGGATCTGGTTGCTGGTTGCATTTTAAATATGGCAGTTCTGAATTGTAACTTTCTGCTGTCTAATATGTTTTGTAGACTCCCTGGTCAATCAAGCGGCTCCTTGCTTACCAAGCTCGCACGTACCCGTGGCTTCATTGATCAGTGGTTCAAGAGGACCAAGTCGTTCCCTTTGTGATTTAAGCTTGGCAGTCCTTGCTCTCACTTCTGTCCTGTTTGTCCGTAACTCTCTTTACTGTCTTGTCGTGTTTAGCCACTTTCCTATATCGAGTTTAATCGGTTTATTTATTTTTGTATACTGCTGATTGTATCATGTAATGAATCAAAATAATTAGTTGATATAATATGTAGAGGTGGGAGAACATTTTAATTAATGTAGTACTGCATACACCCTATCTTCGCATATAATTTACACACACATTGTAGTTTCACGGTGTGGTCGTGAGATCGAGTCTCACGGTGGACAATTCATAATTTTGATTGCCGGAGGTTTTCTACGGAAGTTGCTCTCAACCTGGCGTTGAGGGCAGCCCACTACTTTACCTCCTTTCACCCTATTACATATGGGAATAGGATCAGCTAATTATTGTAGTTCTTCCCTGAATGGATCTCTTTTTCCCTTCACAAATTTCAGCTGAATCCTCCATTAATTTCTACAGTACAGTCAGGTAATAATCTATACGAGTAGATGTGTATATCATCATTCATCAGTTTGGGTTCAGCACCTTTTTCAGTTCTTATTGTATCCTATTTAACCAAACGTTCAACTATTTTTTGGTCACTCAATTTTACCCATATTTTTGTTTTGATCACTAAACTTTAAAAATGTTCAATATCATCACTAAACTTTTAAATTTCATTTGTTTGAGGCCAATCGAATTAAGATTCAAAAATGGTATTTAAGGTTTTTATGATGATTAATAAGTGCTTATAACTAAATAATTGTTTTTATTATGAAGAAATCATTATTTTATTATGTTTTTAAAGGAAAACATTCATTACATTACTTTTATTGAATTAGAGAAATTATATAATGTAGTTGTATGATAAATAATTTGTTACCAAGTCAATCAGTTAGCGTCAATCCCGAGTTTCATCATTATACAACTCTTACTTTCCTTTAAAAAGAATTAAATATTAGTTATGTTCCTTTTTTATAAATCCAGAGGAGTGGAATTGGTCTTGTACCCGGTATATATGTGTGTATAAGTATTTATTACATATATAAGTATTTATTCATATCCATGCCTATATAGATTTGGGAGTTAAACATTACGATCACCATATTCTGAGTTTGGAATACCATAAATTCTCTGAAGAAATATCCTCAACTGCAAGGAAGAGCGTTCAACTAGCATCAATCAAGTCTTCCCCTTAACTCTGATGTTAGAGCTTTGGACCCTCCAGTCTCATCAGTTGCATCATGTGATAAACTTTTTTTGTACAAATGTGGGCCGTTCGATCCTATAATTATCATCTTGTGGTCCCTTCACCTGGCACATTTAGGCTCCATCTGCTTTGGGATTTTGCCAACATCACGATTTCTACGTGTAAAAATAAACAAAGAAAACACAGTACAAAAGACAGACACACACGAGCTTGAAGTTGGCCAACCGGTGACACTTTTTTTTATATATATAAAAAAAGGGTTATGTTGGAGCGTCATTGTATCAAAATAATTTTTATTTCTTACTCAATACTCTTTAGTTCAGCCTTAGCTATTGGAATTAGCTAAGACTCGTACCTCTCTCTCAACCAACTCCACCTTTCCTAATTTTCTTTTTCAATTTTTGGTGCAGATACTTCGTTTTCTGACGATGAAAAGATTATCATCTTCAAAAAGGGTAGTGGTGAACACTGTGGTTAAAGGGGAGATAGAGTGGGAGCGTAGGCCTGGTGGTATGCTCGTTCAGAAGAGGAATATGGGGGATGCTTCCTCTGCTCCTATGATCAAGATCAAAGTTTCCCATGGTTCTTACCACCATGATATAGCTCTGCCTGCTCAATCCACTTTTGGTAACCATTTCTCTATATTTTTCTTTGCCTCATGCCCGTCTTCCTTGAAATTTTGCCCAAGATTAGCATAGTGGTTTTTGTTTTGAAAAGGGTAGTTTGCAACTTTGCATGGTACTTTTTCTCCTTTTAGCAACTTTTGATTTCCATCTTCAGTATTTAATTAAAATGGTATGTTTTAAATTGAAGAAATTTTGATTTTTTTTTATCTTTGTTTCCATACATAGCTTGTTGGCCTTGACATTTGCACAAAGTTACTGCTATGCCATCATGTGTGTGTGTTTCTATATTTCCTCTTTTCTTATAGTTTGGTTCAAATTGAAGGGGATTTGAAAAGAGTTATTGCACAAGAAACCGGGTTGGAGCCCAAGGAGCAGAGACTATTGTTCCAAGGGAAAGAGAAGGATGATCAAGAATGTTTGCATATGGCAGGAATAAAAGACATGTCAAAGGTGGTGCTTTTAGAGGACCCAGCTAGTAAAGAGAGGAAGCTCGAGGAGATGAACAGAAATCAAACTGTGCTAAAAGCCTGTGAAGAGGTTTCTAAGGTTAGATCAGAGGTTGACAAACTCTCTGAGAAGGTTAGCATCTGCTGAAAAGAGAGAAAAACTATGTTTTCATGTTACGGAAGTGATCACTTCTCATTGTTTTCAACCTGCTGATCCAACTTTGGTAGGTTATTGCTTTGGAGGCAATTGTTGGTGTAGGTACCAAGGCCGCAGAAAACGAATTCCTTGTGTTGACAGAGTTGCTTATGGTGCAATTGCTCCAATTGGATTCAATTGAGGCTGATGGAGAAGCCAAAGTCCAGAGGCGGGTTGAGGTACATGTATGCCCAGTTTTTTAGTTGCTCTAAATTATGTACCCTTTGTCTTCTGGTACAAATAATTGTGCTTGTTCTCGTTGATACGTATTTGGTGGTGACATTTTGCTATAGAAAAGAAGTCAATGTCCTCAGCATAGTGTTGTTAAATTTGGAGGTGTTTCACATGGAAAAAGAGAACCCATTTTGTATGGAAATGGAAATAGTTGGTTAATTGTTTCACATGTCCACCTCCCTATACTGGATCCAACCTGATACTAAGAAAGAAAATGAGGAAATAGTAGTGAACAAAGAGGAGGTTGCCATTGACCAATCTGGTTGTTTTCAACCATTTTTCAGCTTGAATCAAAGCAGTTTGATGTGGCTGGTAGAATGATATATAATAGAAAATGTTCGATTTTGGTGCACAGGTTCGTCGAGTCCAAGGAATAGTGGACAGCCTAGACAAATTGAAGGCTAAAAATTCCAACCCCTTCAGCAGTGGTTGCAATGCAGTGGCAGTGAGTAACAAATGGGAGGCATTTGAGAGTGGAGTAGGAGCCCAAGCCCCCTTACCATCCTCTACAATACCATCCTCTACAAGAATAACTCGAGAATGGGAAGTGTTTGATTAAGCTCAATTTCACATCTTTCACAAGGCGTTGTAATAGTGTAAGCAAAGCTTGTAGCTTGATATGGGATCAAGCTCCATCCGTCTTGGAACGCCTTCGTTTTGCTTCGGTTTTTTTGTAAATAGCTCTGTTATTTGAAGTGCAGATAAATGGACTTCAGGTGCGGCATGGTTTTACAACAAGCGTCATAGTTCAGTATTTTTCACTGTTGGAATCTGTAATCAAAATGGTAGGTGAAGCAGGAAATTTATAAAGGATCATCCTCCATTCTTTAAGGCTAATATTACCTGCTTCTCCTTAATTTTAGACCAAAAAAGAGTTATTGTATATATGGGAAAATAAAAATCAATCGTGCGGTCAAAAACATCTAGTTTAGCGCAAAATATAAAATACTAACGTGCATAAGTTTCAATTGAACTTTGGACCTCAACATCAAGTTCACAAGTCACAACCACCAGCTGAGCCTGAGCTTAGTTTGTCACCCGACAGAGATACAGAATTGAAAATAATATCACCATTTTATAGTGAAAATTCAAAACGAGCACTAAAGAAGCACCGTCATTCCAATGGAGGCCATTCATGTCGACTTATGAGTGACATTTCAGGACTACGTCCGTATGAAAGGACAGCAAGTCCCCCACTAGGAGACACATTTCATATAACGCCCCTTCGTTATTTGTTACTGAAAATTTGAAATCCATCTCAACTCTCAAGCTTATAACAAAATGAAGACTTTGCAAGCAATTTCATATAATAGCAACTTGGTCAAAGACATTCACCTTTAACTACACAATTCACGTTAACGAAGTAATTTGGTTATAGATGGACATGATGATAATTTCTTTTATAAAAGACCTTCGCCTTTAACTTCACAAGTTAAATGGTATTTCACGTTTAAATAAATTTGAAGTCATATTTTATTGTATGTTATAGCAGTAATGATGTTAACTGAGCTAAAACTCAATCAACAACACTATGATAATAATTAATTATATATACCATGATACAAAATATTTGTTGTGCTTAAATAAAATTAGGTTTTCTTTATAACTCGATAACGACATTTTAATTAAATGTTTACATTATTAGTTTTACCTATAAATCACAATGATATATTATTTCATAAATAACAAAAGTTATTATTAAGGATGATCAAAATTTGATTCGATTTGAAAAAAAAATTAAATTAATTGATTTAACTCACATTAGTAAGTCAGTTTCTGAGTTTGAGTTGTATTTGAATTTTATCAATTCGAAAAATTAAATTTTAAAATGTCATTTTTATTAGATTTACAAAACATATATGATAATATTTTAATTAAACATTATAATTGCTATATTTTTTAGCAATAGATCGTGTGAATAAATTCATAATAGTATTTTAATCTAAGGTTACAATCGTTATTTTGTGCTAATAAGGCAGCAACGGAAACACAGTTTAGATCAATAATTGCTTAAATTATTAGGGTTCCGAATTTGGCCCGAATTCAATAGCGAGTTTATTACCTGTCATGTTATGCATTTAAATGAAAGTGACAGATATATGTTTATTTACCCTATTAGGAGTAGGCTTTAATTACCATTAAATAAAAAATGGTATTATTTACTCTTCTTAGTGATAAGGATATGACAGTTCTATGTGAAGGAAAATATGAAGTTCATAAGAATCAATGACTACCTTCTGAAATGATACTGAATTTACTGGATTATCCAACTTATAAAGTAATCTTAATCTCTTTTCTGTGTGGGTGATTTTGGAATAAAATTAAATTAAGAGCGTTTTGAACCTCAATTTTGTCCTAAATCTATCCACCAAATGGCCAACAACGATAGGGGCAACAATGCACCCTATATGGTAATCTGAAGTGTTTTTGTGTATAAATACGAAGGCCGTGAAAGCCTCTTAATCACAATAACCTACATCTTTATAGGTTAGTTTGAGTTGAAAGTACAATTCTTCTATTAGATTTCAATTCCTTTCTAGTAATACTTGTTTGTTTTGCATGTTTGCAGGTTGATAGTGACATTAGAGCCTTGAAAGCATGGACGGAAAGAACAAAAATATTGAGAAAGAAACACCATTTGAGAGCTCAGTGTGGCCTAAATACCCCATTTCTGCCACCGCTGGCAGTGCCAACCATTTTAACTACTTGTCCCCATCAAATCTTCCTATATCCCCTACTTCATTTAACTATGTGGGTCTAAAACCCTATTTCATGAACCAAGGTGTTGCTGCTGGTACGAGTGTTGGGGGCAGCAGTAGTGGAACTAAGTCTTCTTTCTTCTCAGGATTAGAGTGTTTTGCCATGAGAGGTGAGAATAACAAGGCAGATCAAAATTCATTTCATCCACCTACTGAGAAATTGATTTTGGGAGCTCCTTCCAATACTGTGGTGGCCAATGCTGTTCGGGGCCGTGGTGATGTCATCAATGAACAAAACATGGATCCTAAAAAGCTTAGAAGGTAAGCTATTCTTGTCTTCTTTACTCTAGCCAAGTTTTTTCTCATTCAAACTTTTATATCTTCTACTCTTTTGGTTTTGTTTTGTTGTGTAGGGTCATTTCAAATCGATTATCAGCTCAGAGATCAAGAGTGAGGAGGCTTCAACATGTTTCTGATATGGAAAAGAAGGTGGAGTCTTTACAGGTAAACTTCATTTCTCTTTTAATCTCTTTATGTTATCTTTACATCTAGTGATATTTCCTCGAAAAAAATTCAGGCCCTAGTTGCTGTGCTCTCCTCTCAAATCAAATTGCAAAAGGACAAGAAATTCTTGCTGAGAATAGAGGAAAACCACTTGCAAAACCGTATTTTAGAATGCGCTAACCGCAGAGTTATGGTGGATGGTAAAGCACTTGAACTCTCTTTTTGTCTGCTTTAATTTAAAGTGTTATTAACTTTCATGGAATACAATGATTAAATTACGAATCAATCTTACAAGCATGAGTTTTGCTTATATTTTGTGGATGCAGCTGAAATCGAAGAGAAGAGAGCAGAACTAAATAGGCTGAGGGCACTGCATTTGACGGAACAAGACCAAGAAATGCAGTCGGAGAATATGGCTGTTTGGGAACATGGACTGCCCGCAGAGGAGATGCTGGAATATCCCGTAAACGGACAACCTTTGTTTGTTAGTTCAGACGAAGGTAAAAATGAACTACGCTAATAACATAACCAACTTATTATTTTCTTCATATTTGCTTTGATACATATCTCTAGACTGGTTACCAACAATACGTTGAAATAAAATTTAAACGGATAATCATAGAAAAACCACTAAAATTATGACCAAAAGCGAAATGAAAACCTTAAAAGCATCGCTGTCCAATACAGTGACAACGTCAAAGTTTGAGGAGTCAAAGTGTCATGCATGCTTGGAGGTATTTGACAGAAGAAATTATTGGTATATTGCATTCAGTTACTCCTCTTTGTTTGTTTTTGAAGAACTTAATTTGACTATATTTGAAAATATTATTTCCGTTTGAAGGTATAATTATATTCCTAGTCCTTTTGGATTATCGTGGTGGGTTTTTCTTTTCCTTTCAATTCTTAAACTTACATTATATCAATTATATATATAACTTAACGTAAATATATACGATTGTTGTTCAGTTGATGATGGAAGGGATTACATAGAGGAGGAGTTGAACAGACTGAGCCAACTTAACTTGGATCAGGAAAGTCCTGAACATACGGTGCTGCCTGTTCGGGAAGCCAGTGGAGGAGAGTTCACAACAGTGGGTCAGGACCAATCTGGACCGGAACTGCTGCAGAATCCATTCCCGGATCAGCCGCAGATTAGACGCTTTAACTCATGCTTCGGAGAGCTTGAGAAGATCTTCAACTTTAATCCCCGCAATGATTCTCGTACCAACTAATGCTTCCTATCATCGTTTTTTTCTTCAATCCTTTCGTTTTCTGTTTGCATGTGTCTGTCTGTTTTCTTTATATGAAAAACCTCATGGACCAGTATATGATATGAATAAATTTTTATTACTATGTCATCGTTGATAATCTTTAGATTTCGGGATTGTATATATAGATGCTGATTACGTGCATCAGCATCTATACCCCTACCTTACCTCAGTACTCAAGAAGCTATCTAACACGATACATGGGATGGTTCCCTAAGACGAAGTACCTCTTCTAGGGTGAAAACAACAATAGCTATCATTATTATTACTTAACAGACTTTCACGCTCTCTAGATTACTGAATACAGTGGCCTTCGTTTCTTTTCTCTCCAATGTTTCAGCTTCCATTAATCTTTACATAATGACAACTACATGATCAAAATATATTAAAAAAACCAAAAAGGTTACTAGTAATTAGCCAAAACAAATAACCAAACACTTAAACAGTAATATATACTTAAACCCAGTATATGTTCTCGGTAACTGGCTAACCGCTGATGAAGCCAAAAACCTCTAGAGAAAAGTAGCAACTGAGAACATATACTGAGTTTTAGTCAAGGACCTCATCATCTTTGTGCTATATGAACTTGAGAAAATTCTAGCCAGATCCCTATTCTTAGCACAGCATTCTTGTAGATCTTGTTGGTACTTGTACAAGAAAAAGAAAATATCTTCGTAGATTGTTGTCTATTTTCACTAATTAAATCTTAAATTTATTTAATTTTTTTTAAGAATGAAAGATAAAAATATAAAAATTAATAATTATTTTTTTAAAAAAATAATATCTTAAATAAAATTAATTAAAAATAATAAAATAATTAAGACTATATAGTAATAGTGTCAGAGAATACGTCAATCCCTGTTGTGCCAAACCAATGTTATGAATGAGAAAATGTTGGTCTTTTCTGTACCAATCACCTTTACATGCGCGTGATCATAACAGTATGCCATGTATGCATCCATGATGATGATCATGATGAATGGACAAAATATTAGTTGGATCTAGCCTAACAAGAAGCTATTGTAGGCTCAAGTTTTGGCGTTCTAAATGCTGCCCAATGGATAGCACCCACAGACCCAAAATCCAATATGAGCCCATGTTTGTTCGTCTCCTCTCTTCAGGATAGAGCGTCAAAATCAGCCTAACAATTGATATAAAAAAATCAGGAGAAAAAATTAAGCGAAAAGGACTTTTGGCCTCTAGTCCAAACGTAGGGGCTAATCCAGAAATAAAAAAATATATTGAAGAAGCGATGATTACAAAATGTGCTGGAAGTCGATGATCAGAGTTATGACACGTCTCGCACTGTAAACACTAAAAAATTCAACCGAATTCCCTTCTCTTGTAGCTTTCTCTGCCGGTGTTGGTGAATCGAGCTTCTGCCTTTTCACACACCAACACCACCCAATTCCCAAATCTGTTTCCTTCATCACAATTTTTCACGCCGTCAATTCAACTCCAGGCTCTCTTGTTATCTTTATCGTTTCCCCTCTTATGGGTTCCTTTGTTCGTTTCTTTTTCCCTTCAGCTCCTACGACTGGAACTAACCTGGGTTTCTGCTTGGGTGCCCAAAAATCATAGGAAAACAAAAGAAAAGAGGAATCTTTTGGCTCAGCTGGGACTAGTAAATCTTCTTTCGACTCATATTAGACTTGGGTTTTTTTAGTTTTCGAGAACTGAAGCTCGCATAGTTAAAACTTTTGTTTCTCCATCCCTTTTTTTTCACTTAATCTATCTAGGGAATCAAACACTTCACATACCCCACTGATGGCTTTTGTTCGTGGGTGCACATCGTTGACTGAATTAACTTTGCCTTTTCATCGGCACTGCTTTCTGCCTCCTCAAGTGTATCAAACTTTCTTTCCAAAACCTAGTCTTGGAAGAATTTCAACCAGAATATGTAACCATCAAAATCCAAACTTTGCTCTTAGAAAAAGACAACCAAAATTCAGGATCTTCACGTCGGTGGAATTAGAGCAATATGTAACGAGTGATGATGAAGACGAAATGAGCGAAGGCTTCTTCGAGGCAATTGAGGAATTAGAGAGAATGACAAGGGAACCCTCTGATGTTCTTGAAGAAATGAATGATAAGTTGTCATCAAGAGAGTTGCAGTTAGTTCTAGTTTACTTTTCTCAAGAAGGGAGAGATTCTTGGTGTGCGCTTGAAGTATTTGAGTGGCTCAAAAAGGAGAATAAGGTTGATAACGAGACAATGGAACTTATGGTTTCAATTATGTGTAGTTGGGTCAAGAAGCTGATTGAAGCAGAGTGTGATGTTGGTGATGTGGTTGATCTCCTCGTGGACATGGATTGCGTGGGGTTGAAACCAGGTTTTAGTATGATTGAGAAGGTGATTTCGATGTATTGGGAGATGGATAAAAGGGAGGAAGCTGTTGTGTTTGTGAAGGAAGTGTTGAGACGGGGAATTTCATATGAAGATGATGGTGGTGAAGGGCAGAAGGGTGGGCCGGCTGGCTATCTTGCTTGGAAGATGATGGTATGCTTGAATTTGCTGTTCTTTTCAGTAATGGGCAATTGAATCAAATTTGCTTGCTATTGTCTGCTTGAATTTTTTTTCATTGTTACTGTTGTTGATAAGTTGTTTATTTTTCCTTTTCATTGTTGGAATTTGTTAGTATTTCTTGTTCTTGTCTGTTCCTTGTATAGTTCATTACTTTCTTGATGGTCTATAAGGTTGAAAAGCTGAACTATACTATGATCACCAATCACCATGTTATACTTTGCCAGGACATTACTATTTATGTCAGAAGTTGTACAATTGAATGTTCTGGTTTCTTACTTGGTCCATATGAAGAGTCGTGGTTTCTTGTTTTTACCCTGCACTAAAAGCTAATTTTTAATTCTCCCATAGTTTATTGCAATTCCGTTTGTATCTTTCAATGTAGTTTTTTTACCTCTGTTCTGCCAGGTTGAGGGTAACTATGTGGATGCCATCAGATTGGTAATTGAACTTAGAGAATCCGGGTTGAAGCCCGAGATTTACAGCTACCTCATGGCAATGACAGCAATAGTCAAAGAGCTTAACGAATTTGCAAAAGCCTTGCGAAAGTTGAAAGGTTTTGCCAGGTCTGGCTTAGTTGCTGAACTTGATATGGAAAATATAGAGATTATAGAAAAGTATCAGTCTGATCTTCTTGCTGATGGAATAAAGTTGTCTAACTGGGCAATTCAAGAAGCAAGTTCTTCAATTAATGGGTTGATTCATGAGAGGCTTCTTGCTATGTATATTTGTGCTGGTCATGGACTTGGAGCCGAAAAACAACTGTGGGAGATGAAGCTTGCTGGTAAAGAAGCTGATGGAGACCTTTACGACATTGTTTTAGCTATTTGTGCTTCACAGAAGGAGACTAGTGCAGTATCGCGGTTGCTTTCTAAATTGGAGGTTTCAAGCTCCCTACGTAGGAGGAAAACTTTATCCTGGTTATTGAGAGGTTATATTAAAGGAGGGCATATACGCGATGCTGCTGAAACAGTGGTCAAAATGCTTGATTTGGGCTTATATCCAGAGTATTTAGACAGAGCAGCTGTTCTGCAGGAACTGAGGAAAAGGATCCACCAGACAGGAAACATTAGAATTTATATCGATCTCTGCAAACGACTATATGATGCAAGTTTGATTGGACCTTGCCTCTTGTATCTGTATGTGAAGAAATATAAGCTTTGGGTTATAAGAATGCTTTAAGATTTAAGAATGGAATTTTCAGTACACTTTCTAGGTCAAGTATTTAGTGTAAAAGTATAGGAGTTGTGAACCTGAGTTTTAGATGGCCTTGTAGCACTACCAGGGTTCAATAGAAGATATGCAGGCCAAATTTGAACACTAGAAATGCGTGGTGAGCATTTTGTTCTTTGGGTCATTTAAATAGTATGTGTATATATTGTAACTACTGTGTGCATAATGAAAGTATTTCCTATTAAATGTAACTAATGAGATTACCTACTGCCACAAGTATGTTGTAGATGTAATCTTCTTCTCTTCCTTCTTGTCTCTTGAATATGCATGTACTTATTTTGCTATTATATAAACCTACATGTTATAATCAGCTTCTGATATGTTGTGTCGTAGTCTATCCATTTTTATTTTTATTCGAGTTATTTGCTACATACCTTACTAGAACAAGCGGTTTTTTTTGTACAAACAGCTCTAGAATCTGGAGTTGTTGTTTTACTAATTCTTCATTTATGCACATTAGAATGAATCTACCAGATAACTAGCTGGCAGGTCTAAGCCCGAGACAAATGACTGAAATTACATAGATTATTGAACTGGTAATATCGTCGAATGCATACATTTCTAATATATCAACCATTATTTATGCAAAAAACAAACGACAAGAATGAGGAAGTGGCAACAGCCAACAGCCATTAAAACATAATATAAAATAATAATAATAATAATTCAAAAAAAAAGTTTCTATAATATTACAAGGTGGTGGGTCACCAAATAATAGAATGCATACAGTATTTTTATACGCAGCTTGTACGTGTGGAGAACATGTGAAGTATTAATTTAATGCAGCTTGATGGAGTCGTGATTGGAGTGAGGAGAACATGACTTTGAAGGTAAGTTCCAATTTGATTAGGATGGGGTATTGTTTTCTTGGTATGAAGGACGAGAAAGAAAATGATGTCCTAGCTTCTCTGACTGCCATTTTTACTTTTTGATGTCTTAAGTTTTTATTCTGTAATTACTGTAAACGTGTTTAGTTTTGTTTTTTTTATCGATGCACCCTTGATGGTAACTTTTAATTTTACTGTGATTAGGAGATCATTGATCACAAGCATGTCACTTAAGGACAATGATGGCTCATCTTTACTCTCCTTTTTCAATTTGGACAATTAACAGCTATTTTTGGACATTCGCAAATGCAAAATTAAATGCCGAATAGTCTTTGATTAATAAAATTATATAATATCTAAAATAATTAATAATAAAATTTTGATCTACTTAAATACAAGCGAGTTAACTCTTAAGATTCAATAAATTGATTGAAAAAGGTAAATAAACGATTCAGTGCAGACATCACTTAAATGAACCAAGAAACTGACGTTCCACCAAAGGAAAACAAAGAGCAAAAGTGAAGGTGGTGGCTGAAACGGCACTGTATCTCTAACACATGGAGGGGAGAGGATGAGGGGTCTAATTTTTGGACCATAATAATATTAAATTAAATACTTAAACCTGAATGCTGCTGCTAGGCATTTGCTTATCAGTGGAGTCGGACGCCAGTTGTTCACCTTCTAAAAGAGACTACACAACCTCCCTTAATTTGGGCAACAGAAACTACCCTACTACCTTTCATCCTCTGACCTTTATTATTATTGTAGATTAAAAAACTGTACTTGATATATAATTTCATTATTTTTCTAATTGTCCTAAGAAAATGATATATGTAAAAAAAAATTAAATATTTCATTTAATCATTGTAAAACCGTGACATTTTATCTTTTAAGATTAATTGATGCGAGTTATTCTGCTATAATAATTGTATTAAATAATTTACGATCTACTTGTTTTCTTACAAAGAAGCACAGAGAGTAATAACCAAATAATAAAATAATAAAAATAAAAATAAATACCTATCAATATCAAACAAGTTCAAACGATGCATTCCAGTTTAATTTAACAAAACAAGTGGGTATTGTTTGAGAGTGGACAATAAAAGTTAATGTGGAGGAGAAAATCTTAACGATAGTTAATGAATTGTTAGTGCACGTCAAAACATTGGAATGATTTATTGTCATGCCACGATTGCAATGATTTACTGCTCAATTTTGCGTTAATTAATTAGGTAGGAGACCCAAGATTAATGGAAGGCCTGGACCAACGTTTATGCAGCCTGATATGGGCTTTCTTAGCACACTTGAATTAATTTTAAACTTCACAAATTGATGGTATTGGGCTGGAATAAGATAGCTCGTCAAGTCTCTCCTCCTTTGGAAACCCTGCGAGTTACACAATCTTGTTTGGCCCAAAATCGGTACGAGTATATGAGAGGTGTGTAGCGTCGTGATTTGGCTTTGTATATATCTGTGTTGGAGGGCATTTGAGAAAACGGTAACTACAGTGTTTGGCATATATGCATATGAAGAGTCTGAGCATCACATATATTAATTCAATATGAGACGGTGGTGTACCTGTAGGGTGGAGGTATTGACCCAATGACCTTAATGCTAGGTGATAGGCCTTCAAGTGTGATTTCCCGTGGAGGGCCAATCCATTTTGAGATGGAGAAGGTGGTATTGCAAAGAAATCCGTAGTGAAGCAAACGTAATTTCATTCATTATGCGATAATTGTTAGAACTAAATCATGTTAAAATGAAAATAACTAGGATCAAATCATGTCAAACCATCAAAAAATAAAATACATAATTTTGGTGAAGCGTATCTGAATTAATTGAAAGGTCAAAAATCTTTGAGTCTTTCTTTAGTTGTAATATTCCAAGAAGTTAGGTTTGCTCTGACCGTAAAAATTCTCTAACAGAGATAAGAGTAATACAAGTTAACCTATTTCTTGGGGACAACTATCTCTTTATATAGATTGAATATTAGGTCAATTTTTAAGTATTTATAATTATGCCTCTCATCAAATTATAAATACAACTTTTGGTATCTACACTTTGATTCCATGACACTTTAATACATATAACACATATAGCATAACTAGTCACTTAATTTTGTGTCATACTTTATGATCACATTGTACATTATACATATGTGCCCACAAATATGGATTTTACTCCAAAAATCTCCCACTAGGGCAACATATATTTCCTAACAAATGTACAACCTTAAGAGCTCAAAATTTGCTATCATATAATAAGTATTCTATAATAATCTCGTTCATCAACTATATCCATATAGGATCAATGCGGCCATTGTAGTATCTATCATGACTAGACCCTCAATGGTCACATATACAAACATAGTCAAATGACATAGATCAATCATGGAGTGTAGCATGAGAATTACATGAAATGTGAACCGCACATGTTTATTTTCAACTGGTCATCTATAAACATTAGTGAGATCAAATTTTACCAAAAGTAGGGTGGATGAACCAAAATAAACTTTATTTTTATAGAAAATAACTTTAACATAAATATCCTTAAACTGAAGTAACTGAAATTGTGTCTATAACAAACGATCATTAAATACAAACTAGTATTAATTACAAATTCTCACTAAAATTAAATATCATTAAATGATATTACACCCACATGAGTAGTGTGCTCATGAAAGACCTTGGGTGACAATTTCTTAGTAAGCGCGCAAATATGAGTTTGTACCAATATGCTCTATAAACACCTAACCACTCTGAGTTTTCTTTAACAACAAGAAACATAATATCTATGTGCTTGGACTTTAAGGTGTTTATGTTATATATATGAAATAAATGATTGCAACTTGGTTGTCTCAAAATAACTCAAGTGGTCTTTCTTATCAATTCATAATTAACAGTTTATGTGATAATATTTTGCATCCATAATCCAATAAATTGGAGTCCATAAACATAATGATCACTTACTTATTGGACCTCCGATATGTGAGCATGTAACATTTTGTTCTTAAATGTATTGTATGATCAATTTGGCTGATATCCAACGATCCATACACAAATTGCTTAAATACCATCTTAATATCCTAAAATCATACGCTATGTCTGAATGCGTATAAACCTGAGTATACATTAAAAATTTTATTTATTTTAAAGCATAAGAAACCCTTTTACATTTCCTTAGATTCAAAATTATTCTCTAGGCACTGATCAAGACTAAACTTGTTTCCCTTAGTAATAAGGGGTATTATTTGGTTTACTCCACTGAATTTATAGTATATACAATTATCAACCAAATTTATCTAAAAAACAAACGAGATAATCACTTGGTGAATTTTGTTATACAATTAACGGGAGTCATACTTCAACTCATAAATGGATTTCCTTAATTTGCATATCATTAATTTTGTATCATCAGACACCATTTTCTAATTGCACTGTATAAAACATCTCATCAATGTTACCATCTTGAAATCTAACTTATGTAACTCAAGACTAAATATGAGTAATAAGTATCATGATTATCCTGAAAGAGTCTTTCAATGAAACCAAAGAGAAAGTCTTTACAAAATTAATGTCTTCATTATGAGTATATCCTTTAGATACAAGACATGACTTATACCTATCAACATCACCAATTGCATCCATCTTGGTTTTAAAATTCATTTGCAACCAATAAGCTTTGCACATTCAGGTAATATGATAAGTTCTCAAACTTTATTATCTTGTATAGAACTTATACTCTTCTTACATGGCATTAATCCACTTTTAAGAACTAGAAGTTTTGTGAAATGATGAAAGTTGATTAGATCATCTTTTACCATTCCAATGTCATCCTTATTTATTGTAGAAACATAATAATCTAAAATAATATTCCTCTCATCTTGTGAATCTTCTGAATGACACTTATTCTTTGAGGTTGTTGAGTTTGTTCTTTCTTAACAATTTCTCATCTTAAATAGAGAGTTGTTCAAAATAACCTTATTGAGATTCTAGATTCACTTCTTGATTAACAACATATATGAACACATGTATATCAAAAAATGATAATAGAAATTAAGTTATAATCCAATTTCTCCTCAAAATCAATTCTTCAAACCTTATTTCTCCCTCCAAACTCAACATCCACAAGAATAATATTATAGATTTCACATTAAAATTATTCCTAATTATGAGATCATAAAACTTATAACCCCTAAATCATACAGAATAACCAAAGTAGTTGTTTACTGTTTTAGAATTCAATTTCTCCTCATATGTCCTAACTTATTACAAAAAAGAATAACCATTTGTAACATATTGTTGTATCTTTCAGTTGGACCGTTAACAACTACGTTTTGATTTTTTTGTCTTTTCCTTTATATGCACTTCTTAAGTGAGTACTTTTAAACTTATTATGCTTCAGCTTTTCTTTCTCTTGCACATAATGAGAAATAAGCTCATTTAGATTTTATCTCTCCCTTTGAGTTGATTAAACTCTATAGGAAGCGAT